TGAGGTTAAATAAGCCGTGGAATGCTTTGAATTGCTTAGAACTGTTTAATAATTTGATTGTTTTCCTGGGTGAAAATAAACATATAAAGTGCACAAGAATTAACCAGCATTGAAAATATAAAGGTGGCATTTTGTGGCCTTAATAGCAGATGTATCGTTTGCTAATTTAAACAAAAGTAATTTCAGCAGAATGTAGAAACAGAGTGAATCAGGTGAAAGACCACTGAACATCCAGAGAGGAACAGCTAGAGCAATGAGATGGTGCAGACTATGACACAATCTAGAGGGTTTAAGGAGAAGGATACAGCTGAAGAGGTTTTAATTGGACTTTAGAAACCTGAATTTAGGGACAAAGTGTAACAATGTGTGTGACTGAAAATACAGAGCTAAAAGCCAGGGCTTTATATTAAAGTCTAGGTATAGAAAATTTGGCTCTAAATTCTCTATCACTAATCTCTCTATATGTATAGACCTTAAGACTTCTAGACCTTATGTGCCCTAAAAAATAGCATGGAGCAGATTTCTTCATCTTTAATCCAAAATGCTCAGGGAAACAAGCCTCTTCTTTGGGCCAAAGTAGAATCATATGGATCAGATTCACCTTTTCCATTGAAAAAGGTTTTTTAAAAAAACAGAAAAAACATATGAAAGGACAGTTCTCAGGGTGCTGATCATCAGACAGTGAAGACCAGTGACTCGTAAGACCTGGAAAACAAATGAAGATGACTCTATAATTGAGCCAGCAGAATTTCCAAACTGCCACACACTAAAGAAAACTCAGCAGAAACCGGTGGTCTTGCTGAGGAGAGCAGCTGAGTACAGGGATCAAGTAAACTAGACTACTGAACCAGGGAGACCTAGATAGCGCAGAAGGCTGGAGACTGCTGAGGGTCTCTGCCAAGCATTCACTTGGCAGCACATGTGTGTCAGGGAATTACCAAAGCCATAGGAAGGACCGATATCGATAAGCAGGGGAAAAATCCACAGTGATCACAGAGCCAAGCTGCATATTTCTTCCCCCAACTTGACCAGCTAACTGGGGAACTTTTTATGTCATTCACAGGGGAGGAGGCAGAGTAGTGGGCGGGGGGGATTCTGCTTCCATAGTAGGGAAATTAACCCCAGACTAAATGTCAGTATGCTTAACAAAATTTAAAAGTAAATCATAAAAGAGTTAAAATGCTTCCAAATACCTTATCCTGTTCCACGACAAAACATAAGAACATTTATAGGAATACAAAAACAATTTCCTCATCCAACAAAGTAAAATTTGCAGTGTCTGGCATCCAGTAAAAACCAACCAGCCTTGCAAATAAAAAGAAAAATATGACTCATAATAACAAGTCAATCAAATTAACCCAGAATTGCCTCAACTGACAGATTTCTTGGACCAGTCAAGAAAAAATGTTTTAAAAGGTTCAAATTAAATTTTTAGGGATGCAGACAAAAATATTTGAAGTAAAAAAATACAATGTATGACTTCAATGGTAAATTAGTCCTTAGAGAAGAGACAAATAGTAAGCATGAAGATATATTGATTGAAGCTATCCAAATGAAACTGAAAAAAAGGGGAAATAATGTGAATGCAGGACCTGTGAGTGGAGTTCTAACTTAGCGGGGATCACAAAAGGTGTGATTATAGTCCTCACAAGAGATGGAAGAACCCAAAAGGAGAAATAATTTGCAGAAATCTGAAATGCCTGGAAATCCTCTAAAACTGGTAAAAACTGTAAGCCCACTGTCTTATGGAACTCGTGAGCTGAAACACAAGAACTATGCGGAAAATTATGTCAAGGCCTATCACAGGCAAGTTAGTGCACCAAGTGACAAGGAGAAGTCTTTTAGAGTACACTGGGAGGGGAGCACATTCTGTGTGGACGCACAAAGAGCCACCCAGACATGCTAACAGGAGAATCAATGAATTGCAGAAGGTGGTGAAGCAACCCGAAGAGAAAACTGTCAATGTAAAATGACACTGATGTTAGATATCATATTCTGTATGCCAACTAAACCAAATGGGTTATTTACCCAGCTCTTCTGTATGTCTATGTTGTCTGCTTGTTCATCAATCACTGATAGACACTGAAATTGTATAGAAAGTGAGACCATGGATAACAGGGAACCATGGTAAACATTCTTGTAGTGCAGATCTACTAGGACATATCCTTTTGGGGAGAGGGTTTGGTTTTTACTGTAACATTTTTTCAGCTATCAGTTTTATGCTGCAGTTTATATCAATTTTATATATTTTTAACTGAAGCATATTTTCTTTTCCCCTTATGCTGTTTTATATTTTATTTTCTGCTTGTTTCTTATTTTACTGAAATTCAACATGGAAAGATTTGTCAAAGTCTATTTATGCAAATTATAATATGGTTGATTTCTCTTCAACTCCTCCTCTGTCTTTTCCCTTAGTTTATGAGATACGGACTGCCTCACATACTGGGTTTATGAAGATGGTCTGTGGGTTAAACTGGTCACTTCCTATTTTTGTAAATAATTTTCCTGAAATAGAGCACATTCATTTTACTTATTGCAACTAGTTGCTTCCACACTGCAATAGTAGCATTGCACAGCTGTGACAGATCACATGCCTTGGCTGATCTAAGCCTTTACAGATTCATCCTTTCCATAAGTGTTTGCTGACTCTTGAAGTACAGTGAATAAAAAATTACCTATTGCTTGAGAGGATGGGGTAGGGTGAGAATATACTTTAAGGTTCTCCACTACCCAAATATGGTTCATTTTCCTCTTTACAGTTTTCTTAAAGGTCTTTAGCCTGTGTTTACTTCATGCTTTAGCTCAGGCTGCCGTGGCAGGTAGAATCACTCCTCAAAATCCTTAGAAGACTGACTCCAGGACGTTTTGTGGATACTACCACAGACACTCCAGGGCCTTGCATAATGTGATGTAGTATTTTTGGTAGTCCACTCTTGTACTCTTTAAACCATTTCTAGATTATTTATAATGCAAATGATAGGTAAATTGTTGTTGTACCATATTGTTTAGGAAGTAATGACAACTAAGTAAGTCTCCATATGTTCAGTGCTGGAAATTTTGAAAAATACTTTCAATTTGTGGTTAGTTGAACATACAGATATGGAATCCATGGGTATGAAAAGCTATACCATAATATATATTTTCGTTTTTCATTCTCTCTTCTTTTTCTCTTGTAGTTCAAGGGATCAAACTCAGAGCCTTGCATCCACTAGAGGAGCACTCTAATTCTGAGCTAAATCCCCATCCCAGCATGAAATTTATTTCTTTAGTTCTGGCATCAGAGAATCTGAGATCAGGATGTCCATATGATTGGGTCCTATTTAGGGTCTTCTCCCAGTCATAGACACCAACTTCTTGTGTCTTCATATGGCAATGATTGCTGATTTTCTGGGGTTCTCTTTACACGGACACTAATGCCTTTCATGAGGGACCCAACTTTATGCCCTCATTTCTTCCAAGAGGCCAATGTTTAGATGCCATCGGCTTGCAGATTAGGATTTCAAACTGTACACTGTGGGGTAACAGAGACGTGCAGTCCACAACAGTTTATAATGTCATATCCCTTTTGAGTACTGACATAAACTTGGGCTTCAAATCATTCTCAATTTGCAGTTCTATTTTTATCTCTGTGGCTTTTAAAGAGAAACAGTTGTCATTTCTAGTGCCAAAGAGTTAAAAGGTGTGTGAAAGGTAAGACTGCCTTCCTTGACCACCTTTTAGACTAGGACTTTACTCAGGGTATTCACCAAGGATTTGGGGCACAGCTTCTACCTTCATTTGCAATGAATCGCCCAAGGTCTTTTCCATTCCAGAAGTAAATGTGCTGTCTCTTTCTATGAAGATTTTTGCTTCACTAACTCTTGTTGGTGAGATTTTCAGTTTTCTGTTTTCCTCAAATCTCCTTAATAATTCTCAAAAGCTAATGTTAAGGATTCTAAGGGCTGGGGATTTAGCTCAGCAGCATAAGCACCTGCCAGGCATGAGTTTGATCCCTGGTACAAACAACAAAACAAAACAAAAACCTCTATAAGGTCCACACCATGTTCCTTAAAAGAGCTTCATTTTGTGTTGGCTCCTGGGTGGTGTCCACAATGTTCTTCCTTCCCCTCTTCCTGCTCCTTCATATCATGTGCAATTTATGCACATATCTTAGATTTTATAGAAATAAAACATTAACTTCTTCTTCACCTTGAGTAGAAAGATTGCCTACTGGTTTTGGAAAACAATCAGTGGAGTACACATTGGCACTTCCTAGTTACCTACTTTGACTGTGAGGTGAAGGATTTGCAATTGGAATAACTAACTGCATGGGGGATCACTTCTCTTTTTTTGACCTAAATTTGAATAAACTAATAAGTATATGTAGTTTATGGTGGGTTTGGGTTCTTTTTAAATGGTGAAAAAATAAAATTATACAAGACAAATGCAATATTTTTAAAACAGTCTTTTTTTCAGTTCCAAAGCTATTCTAAAACGTGTTGTATACCTACAAGGTGCAAGCTGCCATGAAGGGTTGTTAAAACTGCGTTACATTCTATGACTTTATATCACTGTAGAAATGTGTTTGACATTCTGGGTTAAAATACATCCCTCCAGATGGTTGTAGACCCAACTAGTTCTTCAAAAACCAGCTACCGCATCATCTGTTTTTTAATGATAAATTTAAGTATCACCCAAATCCCTTCAAGACCTCAGTTCGGTGTCTACAGAACTCACATACTCCAAACTTCCTCAGAAATAGTTTTATAGTTTTAATCTTTATAAACTTTGTTACATTTAAAAGTAAAGAGATGCATACTTGTCTTAGTTACTTTTTTTTACTCATCATTGAGACAAAATACCTGACATCCAAAATTAGGTAAGGAAAGGTTTATTTCTTGCAGTTCCTGGACTTTTCCATCCATACTTAGTTGGCTCCCAGGCAACATGGTGTGGCAGGGCAGACCTTTATGTCCACTGCTAACGGCAAAAGCACGTAAACTTGCAAGAGAGACACGCACCTTCTCTGAGTTGATGCATGGTACCCTGGCTCCACCTTGGGGCAGCTGAAACGTTCACACCACCAATCCAAGCTCTAGACAAAGAACACACAAACACTAGATTTGGTCCAGTCCGTCTCTGCACGAGGTTTGGGGCCACTGACATAAACCATGACAATCCTGAAATTTGAAAATCTATTTCCTATATTTTTAAACATAGTACATAATTATAAACCTCACCTGGCTTAAAGCCTCTGAAAAATTCCTGACAATAGGGCCATCCAAGAGTAGGTACTATTTATTAGTGGAAAATAATAGTAGGTAATATTTGGACAGAAATGAAAATAGGATATGCTTAAAATATTTGAATTGGTTTGAAATATTTATATTTTAAAAAATCTGTAATGTGGGTGAATAAATTGGATTATGGAAATCAGATAGTACAGATATTTCAATTTATATTTATATTCGTTTATAGGCAGAGCTTTAGCATGTTCTTAAATCTAAGTAATTATGACCTATATTCAATTATATTAATTGGTTAGGAAAAAATAAACCCTTAAACTCTTTCCTGTTTGTTAAAAAGTTGACAGAAAATCTAACAGTGAATGCTAATTCTGCTAGGCATTTCTGAGACATTGTTTTACAGAAAAAGAGAAGAATATTTTTGTTAATTTTATTGCTACAAACAAAGTTAACTTTCTGATTTTTCCTGGTGTGGAGGGGGCTAAGGGATTGAATACAAGTCCTCCCCACTGAGCTATATTTCCTAATCTATTATTATTATTGTCGTTGTTATTTTAAATTTACAGACAGCATCTCACTAAATTGCTAAATTGTTCTTTCATTTGTGATCTTTCTGCCTCAGCCTCGCGAGTGCTGGAATTACAGGCCATATTCCATTATACTCAGCTTCTTCTTGATGCTTTGATGTGAGCTTTTGTGAAAGTCTGAAATACATTTATAGTTCAAATGTCACAGAAGTTTTAAAATAAAATGGAAGTGTTTTTGCTTCGATTTATCTTTTTATTTATGTTTAATCAAACAGCATTTCTTGTGGTAAAAAATAACAGAAAATGTGGGCTCTGACTATTCTTTTATCATAAATAGTAATGGTATATATTAGCTTTCCTACTGCTGAGAAATAAAATGCCTGACATAGACAATCTTGAAGGAGGAACTAGTTCATTTAGCTCACAGTTTCAGTGGGTTTTTTCCTATGGGCTCACGGTTCTCAAAGCAGAATCTTCTGCTTCATAGAGCAAAAGTGGTCACAGAGCAAAGGCAGCCAGAAAATAGCACAGAACACCAGCAAGAGAACCACCCTCCAAAGGAGGTCCCAGGGATCAACTCCTCCACTTTGGCCCCTCCCCCTGACAGCCAATGGCACTATGAAATGCAGTGGATTAATCCCTTGATGAATACAGTGAGCTCCCACAATTCAGGCACCTCAGACAATTCTTAATCCAGTCAATAGTTCAAGTGAACAGTAGTTCAAGTGAACTGCAAATATTGATCCTAAAGTTTCTAAACTAATGTTATATTCCATTCTGATCGTCCACTGATATAATTAATGAATTTGTAATTAAAAAGAGTCTTTGAATAGGTGGAAATTGTCAGGTATCTTTCTTGCATACCTCCAAATTACAGATAAGATATATATGCACATATGGTATTTATATGTAGTTATGGTTTTCGTTTAAATGTCCCCCCTGTAAAACCTCATGCAGGCATAGGTGGGGCTTTTTGAGAGGAGAGTGAATCTAGAGTGCGTGATTAATTCATGATGTAATGCTGGGATTAATGGTGCTGTGGTTAAGGGTGTGTGATCACTAAACAATACACTGATTGGTTTGGCCCCACCCTAATCCCTACAGCCTGGATAACGTAAGTGACAGAAAGAGGCTTGTCTGCTCCCTTCCCTGCTTGCTTTTGCTGTCTTCTGTTTGCCATGAACAGGTTCTCTTCTGCATTACCTCTCTGCCAAGACATCATGCCTTGGAAACAGTGAATTATGAACTCTACAAACTATAAGCCAAATGAACTTTCCCTCTTTAACTTTGGGTGTCAGGTGTTTTGTCTCAGCAACAAGAGAAAAGTAACTAAGACAATGTGGTATATATTTTAAATGTGGTATATATTTTAAAGAACTGTTTCACATCTACAGAAGTAATGAATAAAAGACATGAACACAAATCTCACAAAGAAAAACAATGGATCAAGGAAAACCTGTAAAGATTCCTCTAATAATTAGAGACATACAAATAAAAGAGTGCAGTATTGTCAAAATAATAGCTGAAAATTTCCCAAGTTTTCTGGCTGGGCTACTTCTTTAACAATATAACTGAAGAGAAACTGACAGAAGTATAATTCATCATGTTATTATTTATTCTTGGTCCTAAAAACATTCTTCTGAAATAAAGAAATGATCATTAAAAACATAGATAAGATTGGATGTGTTGCAATATTTAATGTTCCAATTTGAGTAACTAATGCATTTTAACTAGAACTGATCTTATTCTGATGTTACTTGCATTTTATTTTATAATGATAATCCCACAATTGATTTGCAATTTGGAATGAATCAAAATAGTAATGTGTGTTTTGTTTTTACCACTATCTGTATTACTGCACCTACTTATTTTTATCGCTGTAAATTGATTAAATTTCTTGATCAAGAATTTTTAAGAAAAGATCTAGAGTATTGTATTTTTAATGAGTTTTTACAGGATGAGGAGTTTCAGACTCTGGCCTTTATAAATGTTTGGTTGTGTATCACATTTTGGGTCAGTTTTTGACCTCATCCTCTTTTAGATACTACCATCGCCTGGCATTAGACGGCCCCCCAGGAACCACAAGGCCTCCTTGGTCATGCCTTTGTTTTTTTGGCCGGTATGAATATAATCTTTCATCCTCAGTGTTCAGGAACTTCACCAGCATACAAATGGGTGTTAGACATCAATTCTTCCTGCTACAGGCTTCTCTTCTGTGACTACAGCCTCACTGTTCACTCCCTCCTTTCTTGCAAGAGGCATAAGCCCCATGCCAACTATTTATCCTTCCGTGAACTCATTCTGCTGCTTCAGTTCCTGCGGCTTCGCATGGGCAAGCGACCCCCCCCCCCACACACACACACACAAGTCCTCCTTGTCCCTGCGGCCCTGATCCAGCAGATTCCTCTGTAGCCAAGGCTCCGACAGCGCCCTTCTTGGTGACCCGCCACGCACTCTGCCCCTCCCCCCCGCCGCGCCATGACACCTGGTTTTACGCTTGGTACAAGACTGACGATTAAAGTTAACGAGTCCCTACGGCTGTGAGCTCCAGGGCAGAATACCTAACTCACTACATGAGAGAAATTCAACGCTGCGCGACAGCGTTGTGAGGTGGTGGAAGCGGGCGAGGTGGGCTGAAGGGCGCGGACACAGAGCTGAGCAACTAGGACAAGCGTGAACTTGACACGGTTCCGAGGTTCTGATAAGGCAAAGGCTTAAAGTCTTTAACGAAAATCAAACACTGGGGCAGTTAATTAAAAAGTGCATCGAGGCCTGAAGGTGGAAAACTGGAAAAGCCTAGACTCCTCTGCAACATTATTCCCAGCAAAGCCTCATTAACGCAGGTGACAAGGGTCTAGGCGAGTCCTCGGTTGCACACGGTTCTTCCTGGGAAGAAGGCCAGGCATGGCCAGTTCGTTATTCATTTCCACATCGATTGCCATGTTTGCTTTTATCCCGTGACGAACTAGAAAGTAAAACTACTTTTGTGGCAAAGGCTCCCGGGGATTTTGACTAGTTGGACAGGAGCGGGGGCGGAGCTAGTTGCGCGCATGCTCCGTCCGGGCACGCCAGAGGGGCGGGAGCATTTACTTGCGCCTGCGCTCTCGGGCTCAGTCGGACTCCGCTGCTGCGGGTGTGGTTGGGCCCTGGGGTCGGGGGCGGGATGGTACCCAGCTGCCAGGTAAGGGTAGGAAGTGTGTCGGCGAGCTTACCTGGTTGCTTAGGTTTCCTAGACGTGTCTGGCTCATCCCTCCGCAGACTTGCCCCTGGTCTGAGACCTTCCTCCTTTCCTCCCCGTCGACGCGCACTCACCCTGTACTGCGCCTGGGGTCTGCGTCACCGCCGTCCCGGTGGCCTCTGGTTCGGGGACTTTGCTGCCGCCGACGCTGCAGTCCGCGCCTCTCCTGGAACTCAGGTGTCCAGGCCATCGAGTCCAGGGCAGGTTTGTTGTTGGAAGCACCTGGACCTTTTTAGACCCACTTTCAAATTACTCATTTTGACGCGATATATTTTTAATTTTTAAAGTGCACTTAAGAATTCCTGAGAAGAAATGCGCTACAACTATGGATTTACAAACACTGCTTTATTTGTAGAACCGTGATTATTTCTTTTTCGCAGAGAGTAAGTTGTACTGAATGACAGGTGGTGTGTTTTACTTAGTCGAATCCCTCAGTTGTCAGACTGCTTTGCGCAGGTTTCTCTTAGGAAATGCGGGTTTACCCACTTGCTTTTTTAGATGTCGGGTTTTGTATGTTAAGTAGCTTAATCCCTGGCAACTGGTTCCAATGTAATTGTAGACAGATGCCACAGGTCATTCAGCAATTGTCAAAACAAAGTATTCGCTGACTTATTTATTTGTTTGCATAATTCATCTCACAGCTCAGACACTTTGTTCATTGCTTATGCTTTCTAAAAAGTCACTATGATTTTGTCACTTGGAAATAGACAACTTATTTTCTAAGGCTATACAATTTAGGACGGTGGCAGAGTTAAATTTATAAAAGTAAAAAGCATTAAATTAATCTGAATTGTGTTTAAAACAAAAAATTGTTAAAAAACGAACCTGTAGATACATGGGAAACTTCTGATGATTCAGTTTTCTCTAATTTATAAAATTTATCTGATTAAAATAAATACATTTGGAAAAAATCAGAAAACTCACTGTGTGAAAAGGACTGTGAGTTACTATCAAAAGCATCTTTTTCCTCTTTCAGGTTGCAGTATTGTATTTTGCAAAAAGTGCCGAAATTGCAGGAGTTCGTTCAGAGACCATTTCTGTGCCACAAGAAATAAACGCGTTGCAGCTGTGGAAAGAGATAGAAACTCGACATCCTGGGTAGTTAAAAAATTTGTATAATGCATATAATAAACAAGTAATATAAAAAATAGTTTTAAAATGAGTTATTAGTTGCATTTTTCTGGAACTACTCCTGAAAATTTCAACTCTGTTGTTTAGAAATGCACAATTCCTTGAGGAACGTTAAAGATAATTTACTAAAGACTATGAACTTAGATGCTCCCACATGATTATATATTTTACAATTTTTATAATTTGCACTATATTGAAAATGTAGATTCTGTATTTTTATACCATTAAGTGAAATTTTTACAAATTCTACTTCAGATGTGCTTTGTACTTTGTGTTATCTTTCTTTAGAACATTCAGAATAGAAATTTCTAAAATTAAAGAAAAATACATTAAACCCTAAATGCTGCTGAATTTGAGTCTTGCAATATATATATATTTTTTCTTGGTCCTTGAAACTGTAATTTTGCTACTCTCATTCTGATTTTGAGACCTGTTTGGAACAAAATATAAATGTGCTTACATGAAGGTGTTCTTGAAATATTAATAATGGCTGAAATCTACATAAATGTTTGTTTAACCTGGACTCCAAGGGCTTGAGTTACTCAGGGATGGAAATGTGGCTTAAGCATGCAGGAGGCCCTCGGGTCCATCCCCAGCACCCACATACTCCACAATGAATGTTCAAAAGAAAACTATTACCTGCTCGATTTTCTCTCTTACAATGCTCTAACAGTGAACCCTCACAATGCCTCCATACTGTCTTGCTTTTCATGTAGCTGTAGGGAGACACCTGGTACTGTAGGAAACTTACGAGCTGTGCTTAGTATGCTGCTATACTTACACAGAAGACTGCAGACTGATTTGGGAATTTCTCTTTTCTGTTGAACTGGTTTGAATGTTGCCTCCATTCTGGTTTTGTTTAATTCCCCAATATATACAACATTTAATAAAGAGTTGTTGGCAGTTAAATGTATTTTTGTAATGAATAAATGTGTTTTTTGTAGATATTTCCTTTGTCTATAGAAAATGAGTAACTTTGCAGATCATGCTTGAGATAATGGTATTTGTGTCATATTTTTAATTGCAGCTGAAGAATTTTGAGGTCAATCACACACTTACTTCTAATTAGACTTTTTCTCCTTCAGATTGGCTGATATTAAAAATCAGGTGATATTTGCTGTTCGTCAGGAGTATGTCGAACTGGGAGATCAGCTCCTCCAACTTCAGCCAGGAGACGAAATTGCCATTATCCCCCCCATTAGTGGAGGATAATACTTTGCAACCATGTAGGTACGTGTGATTTGTTTTTCTAAACCAGTCTTGTGGAGCAGGATTGTTGAGATGATAACTTGTATGTGGTTTGCTGTTACTGTATATTCTTTGTAAGTCTGTTTATACCAGTTATTTACTGGTGCAATAGCTCTTTATTGGTATAGACAGAATTAGAGATACCTACCTCCCAGCTCTGTATCAGTTCTGTTGGATTTCCATATTAGTTTGATATATTAATTTTTTTATTTAACATGGTTTATTGAGATCTTATTTATGTGTCAGTCATGGTATTAGATGGTGGAGTATTAATATCCATGTCTCGCTGGTGGGAAAACTGAAATTCAGAGAAGTTTAAAATGCTGGTTTTTGTCACATAGCCAATAAGTGGCAGAGACCAACTTTGAATTCATCTTATTGGACTCTTTTATTTTCTCTGAAATGACTTTAAATAATGACTGTCTTGCATAATGGTAAATATTGGCTTAATTGCACACAAAGAAATGTAACTAGAATGTCAGTAGATCATTTTGTCAGAAAATAAAATTTACTATAGTTCACTATAGGTGTATTGCAGTTGGTCTCATGTCCTGTGCTATATTTCCATCATTCCAAATAACTTAGCCCATATTTGAGTAGGATGATGTATAAGAAAATTCATCATACTTCAAGAGATCATGCTTTTCTTCAGTATAAAGAGATAGGATGAAACTTACTGTCAACTGAAGAACAAGGTAGGTTAAATCATTCCTGATTTAAAACTCAAATTAGTAATGAAAAAACCTTTGATGGAGTTTTATCTAAAATTGACAGTGAATGTTACACTCAATAGCAAAATCTTGATTTTACTAAAGAAAGAAACAAATCAAGGACGCCTGATTAGCTTTTCATGCATTCCTTAGCCTTCCTTTCCTGGAGAACAGTGGCTCAGAAAATGAAAAATAGGTCTGCATGGCAGATTGATCAGCATGTCCACACTTAGGGGGCCTTTGTCGTACCTGCTATCTGGAAATAATAGAATCTCTTACTAGGTATGGATCTCAAATTTTCTTTGACTATTGTGGCCTTGGTGGCATCATCATGATTTCTGGAGTTTTTAAAATGTTGTTTTTCAACATTTGGAATTTTTCAGCATTTGGGACAGACTGCTGTTAAAATTACAGATGTGTGTAACAGCAGTTCTCACATTAGAAAGATTATTCAACATTGTATGTTAGTTATGTGTGCTAGGTTTTAGTATTCTACAATTAGATGTTAGGAATTCTGTGATTTAAGCTCATAGACCCTGTTTGGTTTACATATGTCTTAGTGAAAGAAAAAAGCTTGAAAGGCTCTGGGACAGAATAGGTGTGCCCAGAGCTACCAGGGCTCGGTTATAAAGTGATGGTCTTGTAGGTGAAGGTGGTGAGATGAAAGAAGCTTGACTGATGTGTACAGCAGGTGAAGCATCCTGGAATCCAGTGACACATGAACAGTGTGCTTTTCAGTAGTTGGAAAGAGACAGGAAAATTAGCACTGGACTTGTTAAGGCCTTTTGATTGGAATTTCAGCATTTTGAAGGAATCACTAACTACTTTGAACCTTCTTTCTGTTTTCAGTGCCAATGAAACCTCCCAGGATTTGTAATTATACCCTTTAGGCCCTACAGGGCCCTACCTACCTATCTAACCGCTGACTGCCCCTTCTCCTGTGCTTTCTGTTCTTAGGCCTCCTGGTGGCTTCTGAGCACACCATGTTCTTTTTTGTCCCAAAGCTTCCACATTTGCTAGTTCCTTTCTTTGCCTGTCCCCTTTCTTCACATTTTTCCTAATCCTTCATGTCTCAGCTTTAAATACTACCTCTGGAGAGAGACCTCTGGAATACTTTCCTCTCTCATAACCCCTAAGCTCAGTCTCAGACCCTTATTTATTTCCATGAGGTGTATCCCATCTACAGTTCTTCATCTCTTTGTTTCTCCTATCCAGATACAACTGAGGAAGGGAACCTGTGAGTAGTATGTACTTGCGGCCCTTAGTGAATGTGAAATAACCTTCAATGAATTTTATGAGGAATGCGCTGCGAAAGACTTTGCTCAACACCTGAAATAGGTGTACAGCTTATTCTGTTTCCTCTGTAACTTAGCTGGGGTGATTCCAAGTTATGAAAGGAACCTAGTTCCCATCAAATCTCCATCACTTCTACTCTCCTTCTTTCCTTTATGGATAAAGAAAAAGGTAGCTCTAGGGTGCTTGGTTATAAAGTACATGTAGGTGAAGATGGTGATATCTCACCTGTACCGTGATTGGAGATATGAATAGCAGTTACAGAACTGAAATAAGGGGCTGGGGATTTAGCTCAGCAGCATAAGCGCCTGCCTTGCAAGCAGGCAGTCATGAGTTCGATCTCTGGTATCGATTAAAAAAAAAAAAAAAAAAAAAAAAAAACGAAAAAGACAAAAAAAAAAAAACCAACAACAACAAAAAAACCAGAACTGAAATAGACATGTGAGAGTGATTACATTTTAGCTAATGTTGAATTCCTTTGTATATAATGCCTGACTTATTAGGGATATTTGTGAATAGATTAATTTTGCTAAAAGTTTACAATTGGTGTTTGTTTGTTTGTTTTGAGATGGGGGTCTCTCTATGTAGTTTGACTGTCCTTTAATACTGTCTAGCCCCAGCTGGCCTTGAATTCATGGCAACTCTCCTGTCTCAGCCACCCCAGTGCTTATGGTTGCTTATGTTTATCATTCACATTAAATCAAGCCTCTTAAGATGTCTGGTGTGGAAAAAAATATAAATTGAAATAGCCTACAAGTTGAGTGTTTTGTTTCTAGTATTCCAGTTAAGATTAAGTAATGTCTTATTTCTAGGATAAATATGGGTGCGGTTGAAGAGAAATCTAAAGACATAATAAAATGCACTGCCGAGAAACTTTCAGTAGATGAAATCTCACAGTTGGTGATTTCTCCATTATGTGGTGCAGTGTCCTTATTTGTAGGTGAGTTTTAATCCCATAGCATCTATTGACTGCACAACACTGTAGAAATTAGCAAGTGCTTCCCATGCAGAGGGTTAATAGAGGACTTTAAGATACTAGAAAATAAACAAAAATTACCCAGAGAAGTTTAGCAGATTTTTTTGTTTTGTTTTGTCTTAGTAACCTTTAGATTAATTTATAGCAAGACACAAAAAAGGTCTTACGCAATAGCAAAAAGAAGAAGTTCTGTATTTCCCCAATGTTGAGAAAAAATATACTTGAAAATAATTCTGGGAACATATTTTCCTTGTTAATATCAAATGATAACTGTTAGAAAAGAAATAGCGTTTGTGTTGTCACCTGAATGTTTTCAGTGAAGCTTGCTTAATCAGTGTTTATTTCCTTATCAACTTTGGGGTAAATAGCTTTTCCTTTCTTAATCAAGGTCTGTGTCTGTAAAATTTCAAAGTAATTTTTAGATAGATGTTTATTTTTTCTGTTAATGTGCTATTTCTAAATTAGGGGAAGATTTTATTTTAATATTGTGCATTTTTTGTGTTTTAGGGACTACAAGAAATAACTTTGAAGGGAAAAAAGTCATTAGTTTAGAATATGAAGCATATATACCAATGGCGGAAAATGAAATCAGAAAAATTTGTAGTGACATTAGGCAGAAATGGCCGGTAAAACACATAGCAGTGTTCCATAGACTTGGGTATGATATTCTTTACTAATCTGAAAGTTAAGTATAGTGTCTTCCATCTCTGCGTGAATGCTGGGCTCTTTCTTAGAAATTCTCTCTTACTTGGAGTGCAAAGTGTGCGTATTGTTTCAGTGGACAATGGAGATGGCTTCTACTACTTGAATGGATGCTTGGGAGCTGTAACTCCGGGGAGCCCTTGCTGCCTCTTTTCCTCTAGCAGGGGGCAGTCATGCAAACTTTCCAGCCCTGGACCTGAGTACCTGTGGGAAGGTTTGCTAAAGTCCTTGAGGCTTTTTGAGAATTATTTTGTGCTCTGGACTGTTTTTTATGAGTCTGTGAAAAATTCAAAGTCATTAAAATAGTTTGCCTTTTTGTCCCACTAAAAAGAATACAATTCTAGCCTTTACAAGATAGAATTTAAGACAGCCTCTGTCATATTAGTTATTATTTTGTTATATTTTAATTTTATTAATAACCAGTATTTTATTATAACCAGTAATTTTATTAATAAATATTGTTAATTCTGTTACTTATTATTACCATTTATTATTTTAAATTCTGTGTTATACTTAGCATGCAATAACTTTGTACCTCTAAGTCTTACCTGGCACTGTGCCTTGCTTGTTTGAATCAAATGTTTGTTGAGTCAGCCAGAGGATCCTTTCTTCTTGGCCCTCAATCAAACAGGTTTTCTGGTTTAATGCTAGCATATTGGCCACATCAACTTTGGGATCCCCTTGGCTGAGTGCACTTTGGATGATTTTGTTTTCTTTCTAAACTGGTTGTTTAAATAAAATAGATCTATAATATAGTCCTATTATACAACTGAATTTTTTCTTCTTGCTTTTCTAGCAGATTCTTTAACATGTAGATTAGGAAGGGATAGTAACTTTTTTTCTGTATTTTCTTAAAGCTTGGTTCCAGTGTCAGAAGCAAGCATAGTTATTGCTGTGTCCTCAGCCCACAGGGCTGCCTCTCTAGCAGCTGTGAGCTATGCCATTGACACTTTAAAAGCCAAAGTGCCCATATGGAAAAAGGTAAGTTAAAAAAAAAAAAACAAAAAAAAACCAACTCTCCCTTTTTTTTTTTTTTTGGTTAGGAGTTCTCAAATGAAGGGTAAGGAAAAAGAGTTTATACAGAATTTGTATTCGTGGCTGGGCCTTCCTTATACAGAATCTTATTTTCTATATATGTGAAATAGAGCATTTCTGTAATATCCTCAGGTTTGTTAATCATAAAAAATTCATCTCCTCAGAAGCTAAGGCACAGAGTAGATCTCAACAGATGATAGCAGGGAATTCCTAACCTGGACTGTCCCATTGGTTCATGGATAAAGTCATATCCCTTGAATTAAGAGTTCTTTTCAAGTACAGGCTCTTTCTTTTGGAGAATGAGAATAACACCTGGTTACTTAGGCGGTGGCTAAAATAGAAATTCCTTAAAGTAGAAAAAGTCTTTAACTATTGTTCTTTCTTTTTAGTGAGAAAAAAGGAGGGCAGTGGGATGTTACACTAAAAAAATGCATAATGATTGAATTTAAAAAGATACATAGGAAGTTGTGTCTTATTTTTGTTAATAAGTCAGACCCAATCAACAGAAGCAATTCTTTGATTAAAACTGAGCATTGTGAAAGGGTGCGCTCCCTTTGATTTTTCCCTGGCTATTAGCATTAACAGTAGAATTGTTCTGCATTTGTAAACTTGTGTAATTCCACGTCTGAGTTTAGAGTTGCTCACAGTCTTGTGGCTGTTGGGGAATTGGAGGAATAAATGAACAGCTCAGTGGGTCAGAAGAGCAGAGCAGCGGGCCAGGGCTTTAACGGCCGAGCCTTGTGTCCTTCCCTGAGCCTCCACCTCGGGCATTGCGAGGGATAAATGAGAAAAATGAAGCAGGGCTCAAGAAATGTATTAACCTCGCTTAGAGGATAGGATATGTGAAAAGGACCTTAACAGAGCTCAGATACAAGATTGTTTTGCTGTGAACAAGTCAACCACAATGTCAATTCCCCATAAGGTACAACCTGGAAGAGGAAAGGTAGGAAGACAATTCCAAAATGAGCATCAAGCCTGTGTGCCAGGATTAGATTCTTTACCAGGGAGAAAAGAATAGGCAGCTGGCAAAGTAGCTGTAAGAGGGCAGCTCCAGAAAACATGGGACAGGGTAACAGTTTGGCATAGTCGCATTGTTTCTGCTTTGAGAACCAACTAGGGTATTTGTTTCTCTGTCCATCGGGGGTCAGAAGAGGTACAGGTGTTCACAAATGTGATTCTGTAAGCATGAAGAGTGAACAGGAAGCTAGGATCTCGTGCAATAGAGCTAACAAGGCACCAGTAATTTACTTTCGTTGTCTGGAGATAAGAGGCCTTTCAGGCCAGAAATTCAAAATTATTGTCTTGAGAAAACTCAGAAAACTCCAGAGAATTCAAAAGCAGTAGAGAAATGTATCTGAAAATTTAACAAAGTATTGAATCATTCTAAAACTATCAAAAAGAAAGCCCAGGATTAAGAAAGAACAGTTAAATTTGGATTTCTCTCCCTACGGGGGAGGTCTGTCATTTCCGCAGTTGGAGTTGGAGTCCTTATTGTAGGGAGCGTCTGTGTTCAGCTTTTTGCCCTCAGTTCCTCATACAATTGTTGGTATTGACTGGATTATTGAAATGAACAAATTGAAGTAGATGTGGAATTAGTTTGTCTAATGTATTTAGTCACTGTCATTTATTAAAATTGTCTCTTGAATATTTGTTATGGTTCTGCTTTTTAGGAAATATATGAAGAATCTTCATCATCATGGAAAAGAAACAAAGAATGTTTTTGGGCAACCAGTGATTAATCACATATTTTAGATCATTAAATCTTAAATTTGGTAAATTTTCATTGTTGGTCATCTTTTGAGTTTTCCTCTACAGAAAAGATAGTTGAGTAAAGCGTAATCTCTTAGGTATTACTAGTGAGCTAAATGAGAGAAAAGGCAAAATAAATGGTTCTGGAGGAAAAGGGTCTAGGAAGTAGAGTTGGGGAAGAAATGAGATAATTTAAATATGAGGAAAGGTATCTTCCGTGATTAATTTCTAATTATAACTCAACTCACATTAAAGTGTGGCCCCTCCTTACTAATTTTAACTGTTTCAGAGAGACTTCTTTGTGCCCCAACCCTCAGAACATTAATAGTGTTACTGTCAGGGATGCATTGTGGAAATGCTAACAGAAATGGAAAATCACTATCCACCAATTTTAACATTGTGTGTTATATATTTTCAGAACTTATATATTTAAAAAATAAACTGTGCTGGGGATATAGCTCAGTGTCACAGCACCTGCCTGTCAAGCACAAGGTCTTAAGTTCAATTCCCATTACCAAAAAGGAAAAACAAAAAAATAAAAAAACTACATGATTTAGAAAACTTAAAAACAATATTTTCCTGTTTTTTAGTATTTAGCAATAAATCTAAAATATGGAGACTTGTAGTATTTTAGAATTTGTGACTATACCCTCATAGTTTTCATATTTCGTTATTAATCAGTATACAAATAAAATTGTTAAGAAACAACATGCTTTGTACTAATATGTGACTTAATGTTTAAAATGTAACACTAACACAACCGTTAAAGGAAATTATATTAAGAAAATTAATATTAGAGAAATTATATGATTGCTAAAGTATTTGAGGCTATTTTTCTCGATACTTATGCAGCATTATCATTAGTGAAGTCATTAAAAAATAAAATTTCTGTAATATTTCTGTATTAAATGATAATTTTTGGTTGAGCAGCCTATATTCTCCCTTGATAGTTTGAGTATGTAAGTCTCATTCTTTTTTTAAAAAAATGTTATCAGCCTATTGAGGTATATTTGACAAATAAATATTACAGATATTTAAGGAGTACAGTGTGGTGTTTTTGAAACCACACTGATAAAGGGATAAAGAGATAAAGGGATAAAATACCAGGATCTGAGTAAATTAAAGGTAAGATAAACCTTGAGAGAAATCAGCATGCAGAAGATAAAGGTCTAATAAAAGCTGCTGCTGATGAGAAACCTGACAAGCAGTAAGTAGCAAGCCCACCGTTTTGCCCTTCTCTGCCCCTTTGTCTGCCTTCCATGTGTGTGTGAGGCACAAAGCTGTGTATTAAGTGTCCAGATTCAAGCTTTGGTGTCCTTGCTCCCTCACCTAGGGTGAGCTGTCCTTTGTTCTAACAAATCACGCCCTGTACTGTTCCCACCACTTGCTATCTTGCTATCTCTTGTCCTCAGGATAAGAACCCAGAAAGTAATAAAATGTTTGCATAATTTGGATATCAGCATCACAAAATTAGCACTGTATAAAGAACAAAGACTATTTTGACTTGAAAGTTGCTGGGTTTTTTTTTTTTTTTTCTGTTGTACATCTAGTGATTGTGTTACACTAATGATAACATCTTTTATCTGCAGAATTCCACAAGTATTTATCAAATGCCTGTTTTGTGTCAAACAGTCATCCTTGTCTCCCAGCCTTAAATCCACTGAGGAAGGTGGTGCATCTTGTCTCTGACTGAGGGATGCAATACAGTCATGGTGGTTTTAGGAATCTCCTGGTTCTTTGAGGTCTGCCCTTAGCCAATGCAGAGGGACTAGGGCAGAATGAAATTGTGAAGGCAGACAAACCTTCCTCTACTTCTCTTCCTGAGTTAGGAGTCTCAGCCCTTCCTACTGGAGGTCAGGCTGGGCGTGGGACAGTCAGTTGCATTGTGTTTGAAAGCTCAGTAAGTTCATGGGATGATTGTATTGTTAACAATTGATTTCTGTTATTAGTAAGATGTGTGTTATATTGTGTATACTGTTTATATGAGCTATACATGGATTTCAAGGTTTTTGTTCTCAAATATTTTTAGATCTTCATACTAGTGATTATGTGTTTAAGAAGTGTAGAGTGTTCTTTACATACATTTTAAAGAATCATGTCATCACCTAGTAGATTTTATACTAAGTTTGGGACCCAGACTATTTAGCTTTTAAGTCTCCAACAAAGAGATGAAGGATTTCATCTGGAGCATCGCTGGAACTAAAATGGAACATTCTTGAAAGATTTTAGTGCTCTCTTCTAAAATAGGATCTCCATTAATTCTCACTTTGGAGTCACTGAGTTAATTGGTAGTTGAGATATTAAGAGCTGAATCATTCTGATATCCAGCCTTTGCCACTTGGCTATTCAAGTAATTGGAGCAGTAACTAAAAGAAAAGTAAGTAAATAAACAAACATCCTTTAAGCAGGTTGCTTGCAAAATTCTCAAGGACACTTAGAATTGTGACTGAACTTTTAGTGTGATCGCCAGAAGAGTTCACTTAAGGAATAGGGAACTCATATTTATGCTTGAAGTAGTTTTGAACAGGTAGCAAAATGGAAACGGTTTTATCATTTTCAAATGAAAGTAACAGCAGATGTCCAATGAGTGAAGTATTCTGTAGATGTTTTTGTTTTTTGGAAATGATGTTTAGAGTCAATACATTTGCCTCTTGTCTCCTTCCCAGCTTGCTGCATTGTTACGGCAGGTTTTGGCAGGCTACCCCTGCCTTTGACAGCCTTGATCTGTCTTTCTGACATTGCCAGGGTGTGCTTCCTCTCTGTATTTCAGTCTCTGATTAAATTTTACCTCCTCTGGCTACCCTTTGCAAAACCGGAATTCTATGTCTCTATCGAATGAATACCAACACACTTGACGTGTGTAGCTGTAGCGCTTTCAGATGTGAAAAAGCATTCGGCTAAATAAATGATTCTCAGCTGCAACTTTTGTCCTTCATTCCCTTCCCCGCTTCTATCCTTTGACATTTCACTGAACTTTTAAGTCTGGTCTTAAGGTATTGATTTGTGCCATAGTTAGGTGGATCATCCAGCAGAGGGCAGTAGAGTCAGGGCTATGGTAAGAACAACTTGTTTTTTTGTTTTTAAATGGAACAAAAAGTAGCAGTGTTCTTTAAAATAAATTTGCACAAACCTTAAATGAAAATTAGAATCAAATTTTACATCATAAGATGTCCAATCTTTAATTGTCATATTAGTTTAAAATACTAATGGGTTATGATGAGAGGAATTTTTTAAATGGTGTTTGCAGTTTTTAAAAGATAATATAAATTTAAAACATGAATTGCCTTTAAAAAGTGAATAAACAAAATTATTTTATAATTAACTACATGGGACAAAGTAATAGCTTTAATACAGTTGCTTAGTACCATTTCCTATATTACTATGAAAAACCAGCTAATCTTATTTTCTCTAACATTTTCCCCTCATATTGGAGAATGAACTAAGTCTTTACACTGAGCTACATTCCTAACTCCTGCTCTCCCTCTCGCTCTCTCTCTATCTTAATGGTGAGAAAGGGTCTCACTAAGTTGTTAAGTTGCTCAGGCTGGACTTGAACTTGCAATCCTCTTACCTTTGCCTCCTAAATTATGCCCAGCTCCAAGTTGTATCTTAGTACATGTGCTGCCAAAGTGAGCACTCTAGGTTGTATTTTATTGAGAGATAGATACCAAATACACTAACAGGTGATTGCTGCCCTAATGAGATGTTTCCTCACATTGAGGTGCTGAGGAGGCACGAGAGCACACTCGATTCAGGAGGCGGTGTTGGTGCACTGGCACAAATGGCAGTGCACATGTGTTCCACTCAGCTTCGCAGTGGTCTCCCCTCTGTATGGCGATGAGAGTCTGTGATCCTGATATGTACCTTTGAATTCTTCAGCCCATCTAAATTTTTAAAATATTTAGGCCCTCAATATATTTTTGAAAATTATATTTATTAACTCTACCTGTGCATCTTGTAGCAGTTAGCCTGTTTTTTTTTCTTATCAGACAAATCCTATGTCTAGTTACATCCCTAATCCTCTGAAATTGAATCTTGAATGTATTCTGAAGCCAGATAAAGCCATTATAAGATATATATATAGTGCAACGCATAACCTGTAAAAATTCACACCCAGAGAAAGTCACTTTATTTTCAAGGCAATTTTAATAATGTCATATGAAGAGTGGGTTTACATTTACATAAAAATTTTCTGTTTGGTTCTTATGAGAAAAGCTACTAATTGATCTGGGTTGATTACTTCCAATTTAATTTTCATTTCTTAGAAATCGAATTAGTTGTTCAACTTGATGTACAGACATACATTCACTTTTACAGTTTTAGTGGAAAGGAGACAAAGTACACAAAAAAGCAAATTTGATATCCAAGACCTGTGCATTATTTATGAAGAAAACAGGACAATTTTTCTAAAATGCAACAGTTTTGCAATATATACATTTATATTATGACTTCACCCGCCAAAATAAATCAAGTGCATATGATTTTTATATTTACATGATGGCTACATTTTTATTTTTTAAAATTACTGGTTAATATTTTCACCTGATCCCATGTTTACCTTTTGATTTAGATATTTAAGTTAAATTTTCAAATGGGTTAAAATGAGTATACTCACTTTATGTACATGAAAAACATAGTCCTAAAAAGCTATGTATAGAATTGCTGCATACGTGCTAATTGAAATATCAAAGATGTATTAGGAAACTAAATTTAATCTTGCCTTTTTAATGATGTCTTAATTTACAAGATTTTCACAGATGGGGTTATAGTTTATCAGGATAGTAAATATCACACCTTTTAGAATAGCTTTCAGTGTTATATGTGTGACATAATTGGCTTTAGTTTTTTTTTTGTTTATTCACAGTTAATAGATAACTTTAACTATTTTACAAAAATAAGACTGCCAGCTAGAAAAATGTACAGTTAAGAATTTCAATTTGCTGCTAAAATGAGTAATGCACAATTTTCAATCTCAGTGCTATGTCTTCATCAAGCTCTGTCACTATTTTGTAATGCCTGTGTGGCAGCCGTGCCTGAAAACAGTTTAAAGTTTATATCATATTCTATACAACTTGTTTATATACCATTTATGAAATGGAAATTATATGCTTAAAGACGTCACTTTTTTAAAAAAGTGTGGTTGAATGAAACATATAACTTGAAAAGTGTGCAATTTTTATTTTTTCTATGAATACTTGACGTTGCTTAAAAGTGCTTAAGAAGTACTCCTACTGGGAGTCACTTGGCAATGTCTGGAGGTATTTTATTATTGTCATGACTGAGGAAGAGGATGTTACCAGTATCCATTAGATATAGGCTGGGATGCTGCGAGATAACCTTTTACTCCCCCAAGTAAACCACCTGACCCAAAATGACAGTTTTATGAAGCCCAGAAAACCCTACGCTAGGGTGATAAATGGTTAGGAAATAAGTGACTAGCGCTTCAGCCTAGCAATCCAACTGCTCCATGGAAACTGTGACACAGGCAGATTGTGGCAAGGATAGCCCAAGTTCTCAAGCTCAGTGTGTGAAGTATGCGGCCTCTACCTCTTATCTAAGGGAGGTGAGGCAGGATCAAATAAAAGGGAAAATGTATTTTGTAAAGTACACTGGAAAACTAACAGTAGTTACACAGTTTATTAAATATTCTTTATCAACGTGATGACTAGTCTATTTTTTTAAAATAAAATTTTGTTGGAATGAAACAGTGAATCCACAGCTGTTAAAAGAACTGGGCTCTGGCTCACTTAACTACAGAAAATACCATGCTGTTTTTGCTATAAACCCATGATATTTTATTTTTTCTCTTGCTTTGTCGGGATAGTTGTGTATGCCCACTCAGAGGCCAGGCCAGCCCCACAGTCGAGTCCACACATAAACACATGGGCAGATTCCTGTTCTCCTCTGATTTCTCAGAGAATTGTCTGTACTATAGGAAATTGAGATCATAAACGTAAAAGTATCACTCCTGAGTTCCAACCTAGTCTCCCCATTTTATAATGAGGACACTGAAGTTTGCAGAATTAGAGGACTTGTCTGAAGCTTTATAGTGTCCCAACATGCAGTGGTCCCTGTTGCCCTTTCCCATGCCCCTTTCCTCAGAGTTATCCCTAGAGAATGTGCAGGCTCAAAAATGGAGACAAAAAAGTGGGAAATGCTGGTGTCCCTCAAAATATATCTACTACAGTATAATTTTGGGTGCTTGTCAAAATGCAAATTAGGGGGCCTCATCCCAATCTGACCATATAATCTCAGGAGTTGGAACAGAAGAATCCATCTTTTAAACATGCCCAAGTGCAATTCAGTCTTCTAGAAAAAAGAAGCACAGCAGATGCACCTGCTAATATTATGGTTTCTGATGCCTCAGCCATAATTTCTTGCAAGTTCCTAAGATGTTTTACCTTATTCTGTTTATACTGCCTGAGAGTCCAGCATTGAGAATTTTACCTAGTCTCCTTTTCTTGTTTAATAGTAAACAATGGCCTCCTAAAGTTAAGGAGCATATATAGTAATTCTCACAGGTGTGCGGGAGAGCTGATGGTAAAGGAAGGTAGATGACCACGGGAGAGGAAGGTGGGCTGGGAGCTTCTGTCACACAAGGCACATTGGGACCGTGAGAGAGTGTTCAGCCGGGGAGCAGAAAGGTTGCAAAGAATTTGCTCATCTTTTAAAAATTCATCAAATTTCCGCCAGCCAGCTAGCCAGCTCCTAAAAGAGAACTGTTGTGCATCCATTAAAGGAAGTTTCTTGTCCTTCCCTGGGCTTCCAGCAGATAGGATTTCACCATATATTGGTTATAGTACAGGATATAAGCAAAATTTTGTTCCATTGCTTCTAAACTGTCCTTCACCAGTTTAAGTGGAGATGTGTTTAGTAGGAGGTACCCTTAAGAGGAAGTATTGTCTATGCTGCTTCCAGTTATTTAAGCATATTTGGACAATGATAGCAAGGTAGGAATCTGAAGAGGTGGCCATAGGCCAAAAGAACCAATAACAAATTTTCACTTGTTATAAATAAAATTATCACTTAAAAGTGTAATCTGTTCCCACTCCGGATGAACAGCATAAGTTGAAAACAACCTGTGCAAATTTCGCCACTCTTGTTAACATTACCCATGATAATTTTATACATATGTAAAAATATCCAGCATGATATATAATACATATTATACATATAGTGTATACATATAATATGTATTATGTGTAATGTAATATGTATTACATAATATATTTTATACATATAAAACTGCTGTACATAACTATATTACTATATATTAATATTTATGTACAGTATGTATTATTACATATATACTTTTAGTTTTGCTGTTTAAATCAAACATTTTAAAAAAAGCATTCCCCACCCCCAAAATTTGAGAAAGTGTTACAATTTAATACTTGCGTACCTGGAAACTTGTTTCCAACACAATACATTAGAATGTAAATCCTGGACCAGCCAGTTTAAGGGTTACTTGTTTTTTGTCTCTGTAAATAATAAGTCTTTTGCCCTTTTTACCCCTAATCCTCATAATTTCTTCATTCCAAACTGACAGCAGTTTCTCTGAAAATATCAGGTTCATCTACCTATTAGTGAAAAACTTGGACTTAAAAGGAAGATCCATCCATGACAATAGCATATCCTGGCTGGACGCCGACAGTTCCCAGTGTAGTGGCGATTGCCTGCCAGATCACTCAGCTGTGGAGTTCTGTGCTCTCATCCATCTCATCTGGATTTTTCATCATTTTTTCATATTTTCTTTTGAAGAAGCCCAACTGTGAAGATGAAGATATAGTGTTACCACTCTGTGTTTGACAATTACCCTGACTCGAGCACTGCTCAGTGAGTACTGTATCACATACAGTTACCTCACACTGCACCCAGTGAGTGTACACAATTAAAAATGACATTTCTAGGACTTATTTCGTATGAAGACTTTGACATTCTTTGCTACCAACTACTTTTGAAGCACCTATGGGAATCCCTAAGGCTCTGGAGAAAGTCCTGAGCAGACTGTTGAATCTATCTGTCATCCTTTTAATGAGGAAATTTATAACCAGAGTTCAAAACTGCACAAAGATAAGTTTCTGCCTTTTTTTTTTTATAGTGCTAGGGATAGAACTCAAGGCCTCACACATACTAAATACTCTACCACTAAGCTATACTCCTAGACTTTATTTCATTTTGAGACAAGTTTATGAACTTGGAATCTTCCTGCCTCAGCCTCCTGAGGATCTGAGATTACAGTCATGAACCAGCATTTTCAACTTAGAGTCTATGTGTCTGAAGCAAAATAAAATGTCTAGGGTCATAGAAGGAAGGAAAATTTTTTTAAGAAAAATAAAATCAATGGGCTTCCAAAGGCATGAATGAGAAAGTGTAAACAAATTTATATTTCTTTTCCCCATAATAGAGGAGTACCATATAATATTTAAAATTGCTGTTTTGTAAAGGAATTTATGACCAGCTTTCAGGAACCCTGCCTTTTAGAATGAGAATTTTTTTCTTACCCTCCATAAGACAGAAACCAGAGCTGCAAGCAGAAGAATGCCAGCAATTACACTGCCCACTATGACTCCTGTTGGGACTTCAGCCTTCTCATTGGGTTTCATTATCATGAGAGGAATCTGAAAATACACATTCACACTTCAGTTATCAAATATTTACAGTAAAAAAAGGGAACGTTGTTCGATTCTGTAATTCTATAAATAAACATCCCGGCTCTAGAAAGGTGATGTGATTCCTCACTGTGGTGAGCATTATACAGAGAAATTCTTTGAGAAAAAAACCTGCAAAATTTAGATAAAGAGTGCACATTTTCTAGGTTTTTCCCCTTGATTGCATTAGTATTTTATATCTGTATCATGCCTGACAATCCTAAGTGCTTTGATTATTTGTAAAGTGGGGACTTTAGTGTCTGTCATCAGGTGAAACAAAAGGGCCTTGGGGAGAGAATTGGAGCAACCTAGCTCAGCACTGGGGCACTCGGGCTTGCGGCAGTACTGACTTCACCTAAGCCTCACTGCAGGTTGGTAGCAACTGCTGGAAAGTAGAAATAGTATCTCAGTGCTCGAGCTGACCTTTGCAAAAGTGAGGAGCTTGTTCGGAGGATATTTATGTCTCCTCATGCCCACTTCCTGAAGTCTTTGTGGTGCTGTAATGGAATGGCTGCCCTAAGAGTTTTAATAGCAACATTGTCTATTCTTTTTCTTTTTTCCTTTTCCTGTAATTGGGGAAAGAGTCTCAATCATTTCCTTCAAAGGATATTCTTAAAGACCTATATTTTATAGAAAAGAAGAGGACGATCTCTTATTTATTTGACAGTGTTAAATTTCAGTGGCGAATGAGCAGCTGTATTTTACAAACTTTGTTGAGCTAAACTGGAAGCTGGCTTGCTGACTGGATTTCTCATTATTAAAAATTTCAAAAACTAAAATATTTTTAGTAAGTTTAATAATAAAAGTTGTTTCAAATTCCTATCAGGTTTTCTGTATTGGCAGTTATATGCCTGCTTCTCTTTCTCTGGCCTATGGATCTCTGGAGTCATGAGTATAAAGTTTGATTTTTCAGACTTTTAAGTAGGCCTGGGATTGAAATAAATGTAACTACTTTCCTATAGGAAAATGTCACTTTATTATGTAGAATCAAAGCAGTATTTAAAAAATTATCCAAATTACTATTTGGATTCAAAAATATTTTTATAGATGCAATTAAATAAAAGTTGGCTTCTGTTTATTAGTATGAGAAAACGGGAAAAATATATTGGGTTCATTAAAATTGATCACTGGACTTCTCAGTGAATATATTTATGACTGCTTTCTAAAAAGAAAAGTCCATAACTGAGTGTTGCATATTTTTTGAAAGTTGCATTGTTCTAAATGAGCTTTCAACAAAAACGTACAGTGCTTTCTTCCCAGGGCTAAATTCAGAGCAGTTCAAATGTGAAGTCTGCATTTCCTTTGGCTCTATTTCCGACTTTCCATGCCAGTCTCTGAAGAGAGACCATGGGCTTTCACTGAGTTTCCTAAACTGGAGGCAGAAAACCTTTGTCTGTTGTGTGGACTCCTTTTCTCCGGGGCAAGAGTGGGATGGCACTGCTGTGAGCTGTATTCTCAGGCACTGAGAGAGGCAGGCAGTTCACAAGGACACCGGTCTTTTAAGCAAGACTGTGGGCTGGAGCTGTGGATCAAAGCCAACTGCCAAGTTGAACTTGGGGGCAGAGTCATGAACTCTCGTCCAACCTTGAACAAAAGCTGTGAGAGGAAAATGCCGAGAGCTCTGCCAACAGATTAGGCATGGAAGTCCCGCCATACCGTATCTAAAAATGGCATATGCTACCCAGAGTGTCAGTGCAAAGGAGAGTGGTCTGTGCCAGTTTCTGGAACAGAAATGCTTTGTTTTCTGTAAAAAGCACACTTCTCTGAAGGACCATTTCTATCAACGGGAGCATTATAGTTTTTTAGACTGTAAGACTTGCCACACTGTGACAGTCTGCTTGTAAGATGTACTATTAAAAAAAAAACCTTCAATAATAAATGACTGATTTATTAAGCATGCTTCGGTATTTCTTAAAAATACTCTAAATACAATTTATAATTTAAGTAGTCATAATGTAAAGCCTTCAGTCTAGCTGGTTTTATACAAGCACAGGGGAAGAAAGAGCAGTAGGGCTGGTGTAGGGCTGGAGAAGAGAGAGGCAAAGGGCATCCCTGGGAAGACGAAGCCCTTTTGTTGAGCCTTCTGTTGGATCATTACTTCTTGGAAGGCCAGCATGGGGACCTGAAGTGGGCATTTATATCACTGAACTTTCTGAATAGCAAACACCCTTGCCAAACACAAGAGATGTTAGATTCACAGAGTTTCAGTAAGATACTTCCTTATACGCAGTGGTAAGAAAAATGATTATCTGCTTCTATTGAAACAGAATGCCTTTTGGGGGGAAAGATGTGGTACACTCACCGTGACAGTGTTTTCTTCAATCACATATATTTCAGGATTATAGGTATTGATTTCTGCAGCTGCTGTCAGCTGTACTGTCTGGAAAGTGGACTAGAACACACAAGAAAGAAAATACTTTATTGTAGCAGCAGAAAACCTGACACGTTTATAAGTTATTACCTGGCAGAAAGTAATGAGCAAATGAATGCTAATTGTGAAGACACAGGAACTTCTGTATAACAGGCCTACTCAGCAAAAGTTGCTGGACCACTTTTAAAACGTGCACATGACTGGGCTCAGTCATTAAACAAACCTCTAGGGTGAGGTCCAGACCTAAGCCAGTTAAAACATCTCTGCAGGTGATTTGACTTAAAGAGGCTTCAAAATAAGGGTGTAAAATCAGTGCTTTTAATTGAGAAAGATAAGATTTTTTAAGAAGTTCAAGAGGTGATAGGCATTTACATGCAGCATTTTTATATTCTTACCTAAATGAACCACATATGGAAATGGAAAATCAACATTTAAAAGATAAGACAATTTTCTTTTGAGGTACAGATGCATTACATAACACTTTAAAAAATATACTTGAACTTTACCTTTTGACACATTTTATCATATCAGGAGTAATTTCACATTTCCTAACTTAAGTGTTTCTATGAAATTATACTGGATATATGAAGTAGGTGTGTAGGAAGGTCATATATTGTATGTTGACATGACTTGTAATTTACTAATATGAAAATATCTTTACACATATTCTTCACTCTATTTACAGAAAAGAATATTTTTCAATGGAAACATTGATGTATTTACTTCGCTGTGGTTGTTCTCTTTGCAGAACAAATATTGGGTCTGATGCTTACTGTCACTCAGATTTTAGAGCTGTTTCACATGTTCTAGCTACTAGGACTCAGTTTTTCTGGTTACTAGGGCACAAGATTCAACACACTCCATGAAGTCATTTGCTAAGCTGTATCTAGCAGCCAGAAAGAGAATATATTTCCAAAAAAATGAGCAATTTATTTCCTTCACACTAGCTGAGTCTCTGGTTACTTTTAATTGCCTCAAGATGAAACATTGCTTCAGAAGTTAACCCTCAGCACGGGTCCCTTAAATATATACTATGTGGGAAACATTAAGGCTATCAATAATGATATAATTTTGTTTTTAAAGAAAGAGGCAGTTAAGTGAATGCATAGCTGAAAGATACATTACAACACCGCTAGGCCTGCACTCCAAAGGCAGGCTCTTCCAAGTACACGATATCCTACAGGTTTAACAAGCAGAGGTAGGCAAACCAGCCATGGGAGAACCAAGTAGCGAGGCTGCCAGCCTTCACCACAGCTTCGTACAAAGGCATCCACTCAGTTAGGAAGGCTTTGTGATAAAACCACTTGAAGCCTTTGTGATAAAATTACTTGAAATGTTAAGTTAACTTGAACTATAATCAGAAAAAGAATGGCAGGAGAAGGCAGCACATCACTAGGTTCTAATAGAGAAAATAAGATAAATATTTTAGACTGGATCTCACATGTGGTCTCAGAAACATTTCCTTTGTTATTGAAACAGCTGGAAACCAAGGGCGTGGTGGCAAAGGTAACCTTTCCCAAAGAGAGATGATGTTTGAGACTTGAGCTTCAGTGACTTCTCAGGGATGTTTTCTCAGTTTAACCAACATAATCATGTTGAAAAGGATAAGCAATATACTTTATGTTGGTTTCTGAGAATGAAACTGCTGCTTCTAAAAACTGTTCTAAAAACTGTCTTTTAAAAACGTCTTCTAGTTAAAATGCTATAGCTTTAAATAAACTTAAGAAAAACCAAATGCTTTCTGCAGAGCTGGCAGGATTGTGTTTTGATGTGGAAAAGTCAGTTTTCCTTCCCATTTGGCAAAGTTTCCTATGAAAACACTTGTTCCTCAAACTCACAGAGCCAAAAACAAATTGGTGAAGCTGAGTACCAAGCTGCTGCAGCTAGGCACTGCTACAGCAAACAGCAGGCAGTCCACCTTAGAGAACTCTTCTTCTCAAGGCCTCAAAACAAATGCAACTAACAAGGAGAAAACAAGCAAGACAGAAAATCAAACTTCTTATTTCGTTACTCCTCCAATTCTGTATTTTTTTCCCCTGACCTTTGAATATTCCTTTTTTATTGCATCTTCATAAAAGAATATTGCTCATATTTTGGATTCAGGGAGAAGTTACAAAGGCTGTCAGTCTTCTAATCTTGCACAAAACTCCATGGCAAAGAATAATGGTTTTTGGAAAATACATGAAAAATACAAAGTAGAATATCATTCTAAGAACCTTGAGAACTGATTTATTTGTTTAAAAAAAACAAAGCAAAACAAAACAAACAAACAAAAAAGAAACCAAGAAAGTGAAAGTCACACACTATCCCAAGGTTTTAGACTAATTTGTATTTTACCACCTCAATCAAAGCCAGTGTTGGCAAATGGAATGGCTAATCACTAAAGCACCAGATTTAAGCAGGCCTGTCTATATGCATAGTTTTCACTCTAGATGGAAATTCTGGCTATGCAAATCCATAGTGAAATACTGCTATAGTAGCCACATGCTTACCCAACAGAAAAACCACACTGGCATTGTTTAGCACTTCCTTCAAATTTCGCATGGGAATTGAAATGATTTAAATGTTGTGTCTGACTGGGTTCTCAGCAGAGGGAAGGTAAAGCAAGAGAATAGAGGGTTATTGCTAAATAGGAAGATGGATCCTTTTGCTAGATTTGTCTCCTGGGTAGTTTGAGATCCATCCAACAATTAGATGTGACCTCAACCAGAGACAGCTGCATTTTGGTGGGGGTGTGGTAGAGAAGACCTGGAAAAGGAAAATGTGAGGACTGGGTGGAAGATAAAGCAGATGCCATCTGTAGTCAAGAGTAGCAGAGGTGATTTTGTCACCATTCTGTAGATACTGATGGCTGGCATCTCAGAGACCTTATGAAGCAGACCTTTTGATGAGCTCCCCATAGATTCCAAGGCACAGTCAGATCAGGTGAGCCCTGGAGAGGGATGGCAGCACACTGCCTTCTCCAGTAAAACTGCTCTGGGTTACTCAGCCACCACCATCAACCAGAATGCTATTTTGTCCAAGGGTACAAACTCTTTGACAATGAAGGTATATTTCCTTATCATTGATGAGTCCAATCTGATGCTGATACTTACTGCAGCGAAAGTCCTGCTCCAAATTCTGGTGGACACATTAATGAAGTATTCTTCTTTTATGTCAAGGTTTTTGAACATGCAGATGACATCACTACAGGAAGCAGTTCTGCAGTCCTTTCAGATTAGAGTCAATGGTGAAGGAAGAGAAGGTTAGTATGGGTGTAAAACAAAAATGAATGCTAAAAGTTTAAAAAAACACATAACCCCAGTACTGGGAAGGATTTAGGGAAACAGGCAATCTGATGAACTGCTTGTACTTATAATCCCTTCCAAGGGATTTTGGTACTACGTCATAAAAATTGCACTCTTTCTCCCAAGTTTTTTGTATTTGTATAGACAACTTCAGGAAACAAACAAACAAACAAAAAACCTAGAAGTGTGTGGAGCAAATATACAACTGTGTTAACTGTACTACTAACAATAGTAATAACAAAACACAGTCACTCAACTTGCTAACAATGTACTCATTAGGTAAACAACATTAAAAAAGAGTTATAATTTAATCATTAAACCTAACCCTAAAGATACATTGTTTAGATTTGAAAAAGTTGGTAGTAAAAGAATTGTGATTATTAGGAGTCTGGGAGGAAGAAGAGATGAACAGTTCTTAGAGCACAGAATTTTAAGGGTAGTGAAACTATTTTTATGATACTACAATTGTGGATACATGTCATACATTTTTCAAAATTCGCAGTGTGGATTTTTACGATGTTGACAGTAAACCCTCAGATAAAATGTGGAGTTTGGGTGACAGTGACGTCAGGACACCTTGTAACAACTGTACTACTCTGGCTCAGGACTTCGACAGTGGAGGACACCGAGATTATGTAAGGAGAGAGAGTAGATGGGAAATTTTTGAGGATTCCACTTAATTTTGCTGTGAATCTAAACTTGCTTTAGAAAAGTCTGTGTTATACCAGCCCATCTCCGAGGACAAAAGGTAACATGGCCCATTGATGCAACAGCATGCATATATATATCTCTAAGTGCAGTAATGCCATTAAATGAAGCACAATTTTATTCTATTTTTCTGCTTCTTTTTCATCGTTCATAAAATTAAACAGTTGTAATGAAAGGTTTAAACCAGGAGAATATCACACAGTATTTTTGATAAGGGAGAGTAATTGAGGGTTTATTGTTTACTCAATATTTACTCATTTGACTATTTACTATGTGACTTAAACATAACCCAAGCACTATGCTAGGATGCTAGACTAATGTCTTTCCCTAAAGGGAATAGCTCAGGAATAGAAGGTAATACGATATTAAAAGGCAGAAGAGGGTAGCATATTTAATAATTAAGTAAAATTCATCAGCTGTGCATAGTAATCTTACTTTTGTAATCTCAGTACTAAGGAGGTTGAGGCAGGAGGATCAATGCAAGTTTAAGACCAGCCTGGGCTACAAAGCAAGCCCAAGGCCATCTTGAACTGCATAGTGAGACCCTCTCTCTCTCTCTCTCTCTCCCTCTCTCTCTCTCTCTCTCTCTCTCTCACACACACACACACACACACACACACACACTCACAAAACCAACAACAACAAAAAACCAGTCATCAGTGGTTAACTTGCAGGGAGACTTGAGGTAAGTATATGCCCGTTCATTCACAGCTCTGACACAGTTTTTAAGTACAATATACAAACACAGTTATTTCACTTGTATCCTTTTGTTATCAAAAAATCTGGACATTTAATGTGGAAGTAATGGTTTAAGTAATAATATAATAACCTAGATTTGAGAATGTATTTTCTAAATCTTAATTCATATAAGCCATCAAAAGCAAAAAAATGAGAAAACTCTGTGACACCAGATGGTTGGAGAAAAGATCCTTGATTTCAGGTAAAAACAAACCATGAACTCCTGGAAGAAACTTCAATTGTTAATCTGTTCTTACCAATTCTTTTACGTGCCGAAAGTTTTCCCTCTTGAAAGATACAGAAGAAGAGGTCTGACCCAGTTTTAGTGGATTTATTTCTGCTTTACAACTGATGTCACCAGCCTAAAAAGAGGAACCTCAAATCAGATTTGGAAGCAAAATGTTTTTATGATGTTCTTTTCTCAAGTTAGGAAATCTTACTGTCATCTGTCGGAGAAGGGAGAGAGGATCTGTTAGGCTCTTTCCAAGAGCCCAGACCTAGCCAGACTTCCTGTGACCACTGATATCAACCATTGTATTCAAATCTTACAATGTGACTTGATAAAATGGCCAGGTTTTATAGACTGCTATGGCTTAGATGTGTTTTGTGATGCAAAGTTCACTGGAAGCTTAGTCCCAATGAGGACAGTGTTGAGAGGGAAGGGGACCTTTAATAGTTGGAGCTTATGGGAGGTCTGCATGTGAACTGGGAGCGTGTCCTTAGAAGGGACAGTGGCATTCCAGCCTCTCTCTAGTTTCTGATTTGGTCATTGTCTCTTTCTTCCCTTTCCTCTTCATTTTTTCCCTTCCTATTTCTCCTCCTCTTTCCCTTCCTCCCCTCCTCAAGCCCATGCATGGGCTTTTCCTACCTTCCACCATGAGATCCTCACTTGAAATGATGCTGAAATAATGTGCTTGAATCTCAAGGACTGTGAGCTAAATCTCTAGAACTGTGAACTTTAAAAAGATGTTTTTCTTTAGGAAGGTATCAAGGCTCAGTTTTCTTTGTAAGAATGCCAAATGGTTTCCCACATAGCTCATATGTAATAAGATAAATTTGTAATGCAAACACACTGTGAGTGATTAATTCAGGGTTATTTTCTGTGGAAAGGTTTAGGATTTTGATTTCCAAGTCTTGCCACAGGAAGACACCATTATAAGATGAGCACTAATACATTTCAACCTTTGCCTGACCAGACAAGGGATTTTAGAACAATTTTTGCTCTCTCTATATATCTAGACTCAGACATTCTTTTTAAAAATAATATATTGCTTCTAATATGAAATTAATGATAGTTAATTGGTACCTGGGATGCATAAGTATTATCTGCTGTTTTTCATCTACAAAATGTCAGAACTAATCATCCCAGGTGGTTATTTCCATCTTGAAAGTGCCCATTTTTATAAGCTATTGTGTTATTCTTACCTGGTCCGTGTGTATGTCAGTCAGGTACATCAGTGGGTTCTTTTCTTTGGTGTACTGAGGAATGTGGATGATTACAGATGCCATGCTTACTGGGACAAGTCCTGTCGTGACCTGTGTTGGGAACAAAATGTTCTAGAATCACTACGTGGTGTGATGCAAGGCAAATGATTAATAGTTCCTGTGCTGATGAGGGGCAACTATAAAGTACAAGTGATCAGAGATATGACTTGGGCAGAGAATCTCTCTCTGCTTTAATTTTTCTCATTCATATAACAAAGTTAATCAGAAATTCAGTAGGTTTGTGCTGGTAAACAAGCTGTTCTCACTGATGGGGATTTTCTTCTAAGTGGCAGTGCTTGTGCCTTGCTGGCTGTTAAATTTTTTAAACAACAATTACTACTAATAATTCTACTCTCATAACCAGTCTGGCAATTAAATAGCATAAAAGCACTTGATATAATGGCTTATACTTATTACACTCTATAAATGCTATTTTATTTTGCTGTGAATCAATTAACTACCCTACTAAAAAATGTGGCTACTGGATACCCTTCATACTTTATAAATTCCTGTATCTGAGTAACAATTCAAGATTCTTTTATAATTTTAAACTTCACAAAATTGCAGGTTGTAGCCAGGAAATAGACTCGTAGGAAAGGTACAAAAGTAAAATGGTTTTAACTCAAGGTGATGGATGAATTCTTTTTTACTTTCTAGAGTTTTCATATTATTGACATGCTATGAAATAGTAATTTTTTACAACTAAATGTCTTTTTATGTAATTGATTGTTTGTTTTGGATTAATACTTACTCATAGATATTAGAATTTGACTCAAAAATATTTTCAGATACTAGGCCTGGAGGTGTAGTTCAGTGGTTGAATGCTACTAGCATGTTCTTCTAGCATATAAATATATATATATTTTCCCTAATTACCTAGTCCAGCACATGTAAACTAAATGCCAACCCCTGTTCTTTACTTATCTGTTTTCCCATTGGTTCTCAAAGTATGGCACCTGGGTTAGTAGCATTAGAACCATGTGGGAACTTTTCACAAATATAGAATTTTTTAGACCCATTCTAGACCTCTCAATTACTCCAGGGGTAAAGGCTAGCATCTGTGTTTTAATGAATTTTCCAGATGAGGCCCAAGTTTGAGAACTATTGGTATATTTTGACCTCATTTAATTTTCCCCTTCTCTTCCCAGACTAGTTTTTTCTTTTCCCTTCTTCCTAATTTTCCATCCTTATGAGAGACTTACCAACCTTAAGAGAGAAGATGAACTTTGGACCAATATCTTCAAAATTGTGCACGACAGAAGGAACATTCTTATCCGAGGAAACTTCATAAAAATTTATGTTGGTGGATCTATTGGATATTTGTAAAGTCAATGCTTTTAGTTCTGTTGTTTTGAAGTTTAATTTCTTTTATTTAAGTATTTTCTAGCTTTCATTACAAATAAAACAGTTTATTTTTAGTTACAAAAGCACCGAATGACTATTCTGCATTAAAATCAACTTTTTTAGCTCTCTCATGTGAAAGACAATTTGACGTACTTGTCTTTCAGTGTCTGATCAGAGGCTGGGAAGGATGGTGGCGAGGGAGGGTAGAAAGAGGCTAAAAAAGAAAATACAGCTAGAAGTAGTAAGTTCTAGTTTTACAGCGTAGGGAGGTAACTATAGTTCACAGACACCTTTCATACATTTGTAAATAATTAGAAGAGAGGAGCTCAAAGTCTCCAAAGATAAAGTAATGACAAGGACAAAGAAATTCAAATTGCCCTGATTTGTTAGTACACATAAAATATACATATATTGAAATTGTATATGTATACTTAAATATATCATACCCCATAAACATGTAGTTATTTTTTGTGTCAAATTTTTTAAAAAAATTAAATAATGAATATGTTAACTATCTCTTGTTTTATAATACATTCTATACATTTTCTGAATTATCACTCTGAAATGCATGTATCTGTATGTACTGTCAAAGTTATAATAATAAAAGTCTTAAAAAGCACTAGATGAAACCAGTAGTTTGTTATGGTCTATGGTCTAGTGCATGCTTTTAAAACTAAGACAAATTCAAGATACATCCCTTTATGGCCTTTCTGCTGAGATTCTGTGTGTTATATACTTGTGAGTTGTCAAGTGTCTGAAATAACTATAAAAGTGTTACTTTAGAACTGATAGTGGAACTCTCTCCAGGGTTGCTATATTAACTGGTATTTTAATGTACTGGACACTGAATTCTTGATGATTGGACAGGATACATGGATTTATAAGCCAGGGCTTTCCTATTTGCTCTGGGAGAAACACAATGATGGGTTATTGGGCGTTAGCTCCTGCATTATTCATTACTAGATGCCTGTGAAACAGGATATACAGTCATTTTATTAATCCTTTTTCTTAGCTATTTCTAGTTCCAAACCAACTCTAATGCTTTGGCTCTGAATTTCAGATTTTCAAATTGGCTTCTTCCACTAGTAGAGCCACCTTTAAGATGATCAACCCACAAATTTTATTAGACTAGACTTAAAGGCATTGGACTGATCTGGACCTTTTTGCTTGAGATAGGCAACAAATGTCTGCAAGCACCTTTGTCAAAGAAACTGCCATAGGACCATTCAGACTGGTATGAAACTCTTGAAGCTCTGAGGTTGTATTCTAACCATGGCAGTTTCTTTGGATTTAAGGGTGTGGAGGAGCAGGTAAGCAGGAGAAAGAGTCTAACAAGTACTATGAATATCCTTTCCATTTATCCTTTATAAACCATTTATTGGGAAAACTAACTAGGATTTGAAATAGCCATTCTGGCTGTGTGTGCATGGATTATTCTCTTTGTCTACCGAATGTGTTTGTGTTAGTCCCTAAGCAGGACCAGTTTATAAACTGATTAATATTTTCTGCTTTTTGAATTATAAATGGATTTAATGATTTTCTACTTGTTATGGAAGTTCTCCTTAAGTTACTTAAGTGACAGTGTGTGTGTGTGTGTGTGTGTGAGAGAGAGAGAGAGAGAGAGAGAGTTTAATATATACTCAGCAGCCACAGCAGTTAGCTGTATTCAGAAGGAATCCCATTACAAAAATAATTCTACCATCACAATTTCTATCATCATATTCATACAATATAAGTGCACATTTATATAGTACCAAAGTAGTAGCTAAAGGATATACTCAGTTACTGTGTGGGGCTTTTTCTTAAGTTTGAAAAAATGTTGGTTAAAAATGTTTTAAGCACTATTGCTCATGAAAAAGAAACTGCAAAACAACAACATAATGTCAGAATGGCATATAAACTATAAAACACTCAGAAATACAATAAGCTAGATATGTTTGGCTTGATATGAAAATTTTTCTGATTACATAAAACATGAAATATGAATAGTATTTTATTGTTCCTCTTGAGTAAGCAACATATTGGCCCACAATTGTGTGCATGCATCTATGAGTGTATTCCATACATACATCTTAGTTAAAGCAACCATATGTCTGAAAAGTAGTCTCAAAGAATCACATTCAACATCCATGCATAATATCACCAGGGAGGAGAGAAGAAATGACTAGTTTTCATTGTGCATCTCTGTTTAATTCTGGATTTCTATCTATGGGGTATATTTTAATGTTTTTCTTTTAAGGAAAAAATCTAGAGAATTATTCAGATGTAGGAGGAGATATTACAGCTTTTCATAATTCTCTATATTAAATTTTAAAATACATGCTTTAAAAAACATTGTGGTATACTGGAATGCAAATTACCATCACAAAAATACATAGTTAAGATGTCAATAAAGAGTGCAGTCCCATTTCAAGTTTATGTTTATTTCATATTAAAATTTCTGGGGGAAAAATTGGCCATGATGGCAGAGTGGGTGACGAGTAGGCTGTGATAACAAAAGAATTTAGAAGAGAAAGAATTAGCATAAGTGAGAAGGAAATATTTAGGCAGTGTAGTAATACAAATCTTTGTGCCTGCAGTTGATTTCAGCATTTAGCAAGCGGGAGTCCTTTGAAATCTGCAGTTACTGATTAATTTTTCAGGGATGGATGACTTGAGTTGTACTTTGTTTCCACTCTCCCATTTGCCATTCACTTGATACAGAGACATTCTTTTCTTCTTTGCTCATGTGTCCCAGACAGGAGGACATAGTTTTCTTTTTGTTTTTGCTTAGTGATTTATTGGATGTTCTACATAATGCTTTTAGGGGTTGGGATGATAAAGTAGGAGATAGCAAAGCGAATTGTCATTGGGCTTTAGAAAATATGACATGTTTTCCTGGGCCAATGATCTGCACAGAGAAGCAGCATGGGTGCTTCACTAGGGAGAGAATACTGGCTGCCCACGTTGGAACTATGCATGTCCTGTGGCCTGTGCACCTGCGTAGCAGTGCCCTGGTGTGCCTGTGCCATGAACCAGTCTCACTCTGGAAAGCTAAACTGTTATTAGCCTACTGGCACCTGTGGGATTTGCATGCTATCCAATTCCCAAGGCACTTGTTCCTGGGAACAATTCAAAATAGCAGGCATATACTTGTCTATAAGATTTTAATTGCTGCTTTCAGGTTTACTTGCTTTGGTAAGGCAAGAAAACAGAATAAAGCATTTCTTCATGGTTGATATCCTTTGGAAAATCTCTCATTTCTTCCTAGTTGGAAAAAAAATCCTAATCTGTTATGTCAGAGATTTTCTACTGAGAAGCTAGAGCTGATCTAGTTTCTGTATCTGACTATGTGATGTGTCACTCTATTCAATATCAGTTGCAGGCTTCCCAAGTGCAAAGCAGGGTACTGGGGCCCAACATCCAGAGATGAATATATTGCCGGACATCTCATGTGCCCAGTAGGAAGTAAGAAAAAAAGTGCTAACAACTGGTAGGGTCCTTGAGTCTGTTTTAGCTTTCAGAGAAAGTTTGCAGCCTTTCCAGAGCCTGGAGAAGAGGTTTCCTGTGGTCAGTGGGAAAGTATTTTTCCTCTGTCTTTCAAAGCTGCTTTCAGTCAACAAATCTAAGTGTCACTCAAGATTTTCCTAGGTTCTGATCTGTCTGTGGATTCCTGGTTTAGCTGGCAAGGGGAAGACACATTCTTTAAGTCTGGATGTGCTATAAACCAGCGTGGTGTCATTGGCAATGGGCTACTTACTAGGACAGGCTTTGCTTACCTGGTTAAGTGAATTTCAGCATCGTACAGGAGAGGAATTTTGAGGTTGACTGAATTATCTGCCTTGTTTGCTTCCTCACTTTCACTATTGAAACAAACATTAGGAATTACTGAAAGTGAAATATTATATAAGCCATTGATCATCATTAATGGCTTCATCTTGTCTTACCTGAAAGCTTGGAAGCTGAAAGATGCCTGATTCTGAAGGTTTTGAAGATTGAAGTCGAAATGAATAGTGAATGTCACCTACACATGAAGTTAAAATTTATCAGTCTATGATGCTTCATACCCAGGAAAACAAAAATAGTCTCCATAAAAGCAAACTGACTTCAATCTGATCCTGAATTTTATTTTCCTTAACCTTTCAACTTTGTAGAATATTTTGGTTGGTCTACCTTACTCCAGCATGCTTCCTTTAAAATTAGGAAAGCTTAAATTTCAGCAGACAACTAGAAGCTATCCAGCCACACATATTTGTTTGAACTGCAAAGCTTTGTGGAGAGATGAAATTTAAATAAAGGGGATTGAGAAGTGATCTCTGTGACTCTATGGAGTCACAGTGTTGGTCAACATACTGAGACAAAAAGAACTTTGCATGTTGTGTGTGCTTTTGTGCATAAACTGCATTAAGGAGAACAGAACTTTATTATTAATTTTAAAGGAAATAATTTAGTTATGATGAAACTTTCTCTAAGTATTCAGTTGGTTATTTTGTGACTGCTGTCAAGTGACAACAAAGAAGATGTTGTGCTGAAGTATAGCTAAGTAAGCATGCATTTTAGGATGACATGGAAGTTGTACCTGTTGTTTGCTCTTTAAAGCAGGATAGCCCACGTCACAGGTAACAGATCTCTGAGATGAATCAACCTGACATATTACTTCAGTTCCATCCACCTGAACAAGACCAAGAAAGGAATTATGTTAGTCTATAATACATATATATACGCACACACTGAGAGATATAAAGAGACATTTATCAAGAAGATCAGTTCATAGTGCATTAGTCTATTGTCCCCAAAGCTTTGAAAATCTTTTACTCGCCAAGTGGCTAGCATACTATTTTTCTACAGCTAACTCTAATGATACACTCTAATATCTTTAGACATTTTGGCTTTAGACAAGCTAAAGAATTAAAAGTTTAATTTCCTCTCCCAAAGTAAATAATCATTCTCATAATTCAGAAAAAACAAATAGCTTTAATCTAGTATGTAGAAATCTATCTTTCTCTTAATAGTTTTGAAATTCAAGAGAAGGAAAAAATCATATTGGTCTTTGTATTTCAAATAGCTCGACAAATCTTTTTCTTAGTTTTTCCAAGTTTTCTTTTTAAGGAAAAGTCGCTTGGCGTAAGACATTTTAATCACTAAGGTCGGGACAGAGTGAGGACTCCAAATCCATTGAGTTCACATTCACTTGAAATGGAAAGAAATCATTTATTAAATCCTTGAATGAAGGAGCTCACTTGGAAAATGGCTTTTCCTTCTTCTTTTTTGTTTTCTCTCTCTCTCTCTCTCTCTCTCTCTCTCTCTCTCTCTCTCTCTCTCTCTCTCTCTGTGGCTAGGGATAGAGGAGGAAGAAAGAGCCTTCTGGTCAAGTTCCTTCCTGGGTTAGAGGTCAGGTCAGTGTGACCGCCTGCTCTGCTGGAAAGCATCATCTTGGCAGCAGCCAGACCTGTAGTTGCAAAGTTCAGACTGAGTGGCTCAGAGCAAGTGGACCACATCTGTGCTGGGCCACATCAGCCTCAGTGCACAGATGGCTCAAGAAGAGGTACAGGTGTGTCTGGCAAAAGAGTGCTCAGGGTGAAGGAAAAGGTGACCCAAGCTGTGTGGTGTAGATAAAGGCATATGGCCTGTCTCTTCATGCGGCTTTACTAAATGGAAGTCACACGCTAGGGCTGATTGTTCCCAGTGTTACGGTGCCTCTTAGACCCCTTAGAGGACTGGAGGGTTGAATTTAAAGTATGCAGTAATTGAAGCAAGTAGGAAACCCGACAGTGGTGTTCTGAGTTTTGTCACGTACCGGCATGGAGTACGAAGCAAAAAACAAGTTCTCTGAAAAATTAGCAACAATTGCAGTGTTGTACGCACTTTCCCCTTTGTTTTTCAGTGTTACTGAAAATGTTAACATTTTGTTTTGGTTGCTGACAATATAGGACTGTTTTCTGTTAAAATGAAAAGGAGAAAAAGAAAAAAAAAGGCCATTAAATTAAAACGAAAGAGAAAGGCCAGTATTTAAAAACTTCCTTCATTTAAGAAAACTTGTTTGTATCTATTTGCAATATTGAAAAAATTGCTTAATAACAAAATTTATCTGCATTTAAAAATGACACTGAAACATAAGTACATGCAATGGCACTTTTTCTTCATCTCTTTTAATTACATTTCAGGGGAAAGAACTATACAAATACCAATAATTTTATATTTCTTATTTTGTACTAGATTTTAAAGGTCTTTAGTATTACAAACATTTCTTTTATAGGAAAAAGATCTCTGTAAACATTCATTTCAAAGAAATAATCTATGTCACTTTTATTTCTACATTTTACATTAAGTTTTAAAGCAGAACATACTGAGTAGCTGGTAGCTGTTGGACATCTAGAACCAGATCAGAGATGCAAATTCCATCACCACCACAGTCTTTGTAGAAAGGAATCTACCAAAAAGAAAGAGAGAAAGTAAAAAGATAAGAAAGAAAATGATCATATATTTATTTCTGGATTTGAAAAGCACGATACAGAGAAATGCATACAGTGTTATTTCACTTAGTAGAGTTTCCAACAATGGAAAAACCAAAGAATATTTAGGAATATCTATGTGTTTAGCAAAACCATTAAGGAAAGCAATGACAAATGTTAAGTTCAAAATCATGTCTTATTTAGGGGAGCTGGATTAAAGTGGATGTGATGGAGGGGTAATACATACAACTTCATAGGCATTGGCAATATTTTAAAGTGAATGGTAAGTACAACTTGTTTACATAAGTTTTTACATTTAATTCTTCAGCTCTAGTGGCTACAGATAAAGCAGTAACTAAGAAAGACAAAATCTTCTACCTTCATGAAATAAACCTGCTAATGAATCTCACGTGCCGTTTCCTTTAGAAAATGAAGATGTTTAAGGCTGTGTCCTAGGTCCTAAGTATCTTTAAACACTATTGCAGTGACAATAAGATTTGTTACTTAGTAAAACTGCAGGCAGGCAAGAAACACTTACGCTGAAGACCTTGACAGTGTCAGAATAGGCTTCAAGTGCAGGGCTGGAACCAGGGTTTTCCAAACTGATGTCCACACGTAGATCCAAAGAGTTGACAACATCAGAGGGTTTCTGTACACACACACACACACACACACACACACACACACACACACACACACACACACAGAGTGACAGTGAGAGTTTATTAGGGCAACGAACTTTTAAAGCAAGAAAACAACCACAATGTGTTTATAATTAAGAACACAATATTGTTTGAATGGTCGCTCTTTTCTGTCATAATTCTGCTGTCAACCTTAAACTACTCAATAACCTAAAGAAACTTGATTTCAGCAAAAACCTGAAGTAGCGGTTCTTAGGGAAACTCATCAATAATCTCATTATTTATACATAAGTAATTATAAGTATTTAGATGATATGTTCAGCTTTTAATCTTTAAAATCCTCCTATGCAAGGTTCAGGCGCCTGAGTTATTGGCTATGTCTTTCCAATTCCTTTTTCTAAGACTTAAGAGCCCTTAGGTGTCCTGACCAATCCTCTGGAAGGAGTCAGTATGACCCAGAAGGGAAAGTGCCCAGGATTGGCTCTCAGATAAGGGACAAATATACTCCCTTTCTTATCAAGATCTGACTCTGCTCTACAGAACCACACAAAGATGAATCCTGTGTCCTAAATCAAGCTCCCCAAGCGCCCCAACCTAAATCTGACCATTGTGAGTCGTGTTGCTCCTCCATTGCACATGAAGATGATGCATATACACAATTAAACACAGCCCTGTCTGCACATAAGTGCTACTTCTGCACTTAGTGTCTGTATAGAGGGCAGAGGATTTGCAGCATTCTAGGAGGCACACTCTTCTTTCAATTTTTGAGGGTTTTGTCTAATAAAAGGCATAAAAATACCAAAAGAAGAATTTCATCTAGCAATCATCTTACAGACCTCTTGCCAGTTCTTGTCAGGAAAGAATACTGTCTACATTAGAAATTAAATAGAACTTAAAAATTGCATTTGAGAAGTAGTATTTTCATTGACTATTGAGCCCATTTCCTGGCAGAATTTGTTCCTAAATTTCCATCCCCCTGGTAGGCCTGCCTACGAGTTTCCTGGCTGTGAAGAAGGCTTGACACAGTGGATGCACTCAACTGGTATTGATAGAAAATACTAAATAGCATTTTTAAAAAAAAGAAAATAAGCCAGACTGTCTTGAATTCTTCACAATAGATTACAAGTGTAATTTGATCCACTAGTGGGCACAGGACACAAAAGAATGACACTAGCTTTTTCACATCAAAGAATCTGTGTATTTGGGACTCAAACAACAATAACAACAATAACAAAATCCAGTCCTTCACATACAACAAACCTTTAATTAAATAACCAGCTTTAACTTGTCTAACCATTGAGTTGATATTTTCCCAACTTTTATTCTTAGTATTTTTTTGAAGTGTGAGCTCTGTATAACCCATCCACATTAGGAATATCTACAGTATCCCTTTAACCTGCATGTTCTTTGTTTCTTTAAGCTCAAATTTCTGGTAGTGGGAACTCAAGAGTCCAGATTTTTATAAATTTTTTTTGGCAATTTCTATGTACCTTAGCCTGTGAGAACTGTATTAGGAAAATACTCAAGCAGTTCTTTTTAAATTAGTTTCCTGATTAAATTACACTTTCAAATATTTATATGTGGTTGCTAAGGGGAAATATTTTATATAGCTTATAAAATAAATTTTCAGTTGGAAAATTCCACCTGAGAAGCTTTTTTCCTATGTGGGAGATTTTCAGAATCCCTGGGAACTGTGGTAATTATAAGATTAAAACAAGTAATCTTTACCTCATAATCCACTATTATTCTTATATTAAATCATCAGTAGAAGCAACAATTGGAATTATCATTTTCAGTTGCATAAAATAAGCATTTTTTCCATGGAAAAATATCAAAATGGAATCTGTTATTAAAGTTCACCCTGCCCAACATTTAAGAAATCATTGGATTTTCAATTTCCTTATGGATATTATTTTTAACACTTTTAATTACAATCCCAAATAAAAAATAATGACACTAACATATAATAGGATGTGACCGAATCATCATAAAATAAATTTGCTCCCTGTTTATAGAATTAGACAAGAAAGGTATTAATTAGAAGGGTAAGAATTTTCTAGAACATAGTGTCCATTTTAGACTTGCAACATTCATTATTTTTTAAGAAGAAATGGGATGGAAAGAGAGGATTCTGATGCCTTACCTGTATTTGAATGGTGTGCTGAGTGCATCTGTTTTCTACATTTAGTACCATATTCTTCTGGAGGCATCGCTCATTATTTTCTTGAAATAAACCCCTGGAGGTCACTCTGGAAGAATATCCATCTGCATCAAGTGTGATGTTGTATGTAATAGCTATGACAAAAATCATAAAGAAATGTCACTACAAATGACCTTGTAAAGAAAAAGCATATTTGCTTCACTGTATCTTGCCAGATAAAGTCACTGACTTCAAGAAAATATAGGAATAGAATTTACAGTGGTGGATTATAAACGAAGGATAGCACCATATGGTGTTTGTAATTCTAGCTCTTATAAGATTTATGTGACTCTGGATCCAAAAAATTGTGATTCAGAGTAATGTGGCTTGGAGCAGGGACAGAAAACTGTGCTTGTCATCAGCAAATTACTCACTCCCTCATATACTGGCTTCACCATCCACACAGAGATACAGAAAGGAAAGATAGTTATTGAAGGAGTACAATTGAAGACACTCTTCATATGGCATCTTACCCAAGCTGCACAATAAATCTGGAAAGAGGATATTGTCACGGTTTCCCAGATAACGAATTAAAATAAAGGAAGCGAAATAGTTCATCTAAATTCACATAGCTGGAGCATGGCCAAAAATAAAATTTTGGTACATTTGAAGTAAAAATTCATGAGTTTTCTATTTGATGCAGTCATAAGGGCAGATATTATTGTGACGATTAAATGAGGCCCTCCAAAAGACCTTGTATAGGGTCTGACATATTTTAGATGTTTCCATGGAGAATGACATGCAACATTTCAGCAAGATAGTTTGAGTCAGAGTTGGTTTGAATCCTAATGCCATAGTCTCTGAACTTTGTGACTTTGAGCAGTTTGCTTAACCTCTTGAACTTCTGTTTCTTCATATGTCAAATGAGAAAATCAATCCAGGGAAATTAAAATTTAAAAAAATTAATAAAAATTGATGAGAGTAGCAGTGTCCAACCTATCAGAACTATTACCTTCAACTGAAGTCAATTGGTCATGTGTCCAAAATTTAGAGTGATTATCTGGTGCTATTCTAGCATCAACTATCTTTGGGTTTCTCTATTACATTTTACTATTTTCATCATTTTAAGGTTGATTATGTGTTTCTTTTAAATGTCTGTTAGAAATACTATATAGTTTTTTATAATTTTTCTTGATCCACAGACTTCATAAGTGCCATAAAGCTGGAAAAAAACCTGGAAGAGCCCAACAAACTAAAAGTATGTAGCGAATATAATACAAAGGAAAAACAATGATAGGGTCAAGAATATAGTTAGGCCAAAGATAGTACACATCATAATACTCTTTAATTTTTTAAAAAGCAGCCTGGTGAAACTGATGTATAGTCTCATAAGTAACGTACAAATTTTTAATGTTAACTTTAAATTGGGGTTAGAACCTGTTACAGTTCATAGTTAGATGTCCTACATAGACTCATGTGCTCATAGATGGGGCTTTGGGGAGGTGATTGGATCATGAAATATAGTACTCATCAGTAGATTGGTCCACCAGTTTATAGTTAAATGTGATGTTGGAAGGTGAAGCCTGGTTGGAGGAGGTGGGTTATGGGTGGACAGGATAGCCTGGAAGGGTCTATTTCCCTTCTCCTTCCCTTATTTTTCTCTCTGTTTCCCTCAGGCATACCATGGCTGCTTCTTCTCTATCATCTCCCTTTGTCATGCTGTTCTGCCTTGGAACCACTTGACTATGGATTGAAATCTCTAGAAACTATGAACCAAAAGAAACCTATCCTCTTTTAAATTGTAGTTGTCAGGTGTTGTATCCCAATGATGAAAAAGTAAGACCAGCACCTGATGCAATAAATATAAATGCAGAAACCATGTGCCTTGCAAATTCACTTATCATAGTTGTAAAGATGAGATTTGTGTCATAATACATTACTATTGCCAAGCAATAACATGATGGATGATCATCTCTGTGTGGACCTAAAGGTATCAGAGTAAAGAACTCAGGGGGAAAGATGTTCAATAGTAAGAAAGGCCCGGGACACTTAGCAGCCAGACAGTAGGAAGGAAAAATTTCTGAGAGTAGAAGATTTGTGTATGCAGCAACAGAAAAGATGACAGGCAGCCAAAATATGGAAGATATACAATACATAGTCATGCTTCAGAGCAAGGACAGCTGAGAAGCCAGCCATTCCTGCCAACTAATGTATTTTCTAATTTAATGTTTTAGGCAGATCAGTAACTTAGTGTTTATGGAGCAGTGGTTTTTGACTTAACTATCAAGTCTACTCAGATGGATGTGTAGACCTGCTCCAAGCCAGGTGTATCATGTATACTACTCCAAAGTGCGCCAGCATTTGAACATATGAAAAGGAAACTTCCAGATGGATAAAAAAAGTAGGAAAATAGAGAGGAGGAGCTGGGCAGATCTGGGGTGCCCTCACCGGCCTCTCTGCGTGTCTGGAGGACTCTGGATATCTGCACCCAGACTGCTGGAGTTCCCTCAGGCTTCCAGGTGCAGTGAAGGGGAGAGGTGGGTTTGAGGCTTCCACATCAGCCTCCCCATTCCCGGCTTCACTTGGAGACCTGCTGAGCTCCCCATAGGTGGGCTGGCCCACACTACCAGCCTAGCCCAGCCTGTTTAGCTGCCGCGCCTGGCCATAGGTCTGCAGAGGAGGAGCTGGGCAGATTTGGGGTGCCTGCATCGGCCTCTCCATGTGTCTGGAGGACTGTGGATATCTCTGCAACCAGGGAGGGTCCACAGGTTCCTGAAGCACTGCGGCCTGTGGTGAGTACCCTAACCCGGCTGCGATTGAAGAACTGTGGAGCTTCCAAGGGGCAGGTGGGCGCACAGTGTCCCTGAGGCCCAGCTTGTCTGGAACTGCGGAGTTCTGAGCAGGCAGAGGAGGGCCACTGGTTCTGTAGGCCTAATGGCTTGGGGTAGCGCGGCGCCAGAGTCTCAGTAGCTCCAAACATAGAAGGGGATTTTCAACAGATCCTGAGGAAGCTTTCAAATAACACTTGAAACACAGAAATATAGGAAAATGACAAAACGAAAGACCAAATTACAACCTAAAATCTCCAGCCCATCTCAAGAAACCCTAGGAGCGATATATATAGAAGAAAATATATCCCATCCACCTCATATATCGGACACAATAGCCACTGAAATTGACAAGCAACTCCAGGAAGCTTTAAAGAAATTCAAACTCAAAATAATCTCCCAGATAAAAGAAGAAATGATAAAAGAAATGAAAGAGATTCTAAATATATCTAAAGAAAACACAGATAAAAAATTGGAGGAACTAAACAAAAAGATAGAATCCCTAGACGAGCAATATAAGAAACAAACAGAATACATAATGCAGATGCACAGAGATATACAGGAAATAAAAAACTCCACTGAAAGTTGTAAAAACCGCCTTAATGAAAGTGAAGATAGAATCTCAGACCTTGAAGACAGGATTGCAGCTAGTGAACAGGAAAGGAAAGATCTTTTGAAAATAACAAGGAACCAGGAAACAACAATTCAACAACTGCAAGACGATGCAAAGAAGAATAACATAAGAATGATAGGGATTAATGAAAGAGAGGGAGACAACATGAAGGATGTCAGGAGGATATTTAGAGAAGTAATAGCTGAAAATTTCCCAAGCATGAGATCAGAAACTGACATCAGGATCAGTGAAGCATATAGAACTCCAAACAGTCATAACCAAAATAAAACTACACCCAGACATATAATAATCACCATCCCAGAAATCCAACACAAGAATAGATTATTAAAAGCTGTCAGAGAGAAAAGACAGATCACTTATAAAGGAAAACCTATCAGAATCACAGCAGACTTCTCAGCACAAACGATAAAGTCAAGAAGAGCATGGAGTGAAGTATTCCAGATCCTAAAGCAAAATGATTTCCAACCAAGACTGATATATCCTGCAAAACTATCATTCAAAATAGATGGTGCAATACGATACTTCCATGACAAAGAACAGCTGAAGAACTTCATGAACACCAAACCAACCCTGCAAAAAATATTGAAAGACAGTTTAGATACACAAAGGAAAAAAGCACTAAGCAAAGCAAATAATTAAACAGAACAGAAAGATAAAGATGCAACAGCAGAGAGATAACATTCCTACAATTAACCAGTATTTAACAGTAATAACCATTAATGTAAATGGTCTCAATGCACCAATCAAAAGAAACAGACTAGCAGAATGGATCAAGAAACAAAATCCAACCATATGCTGTTTACAGGAAACCCATCTAACCCAGAAAGATACTCACAGACTGAAAGTCAAAGGATGGAAAACAATTCTTCATGCAGCAGGAATCCAAAAAAAGGCAGGAGTAGCCATTCTGTTTGCAGACAACGTGAACTTTAAACCAACAATGACCATAAAGGACAAAGAAGGTCACTACATACTTGTAAGGGGAAAACTCCAAGAGGAAGAGATAACTATCTTAAATATATACGCACCAAACTCCAGAGCACCCAGTTATATAAAACAATTATTAACAGAAATGAAAACTCAAATTATCAGTAACACAATTGTAACAGGAGACCTTAATACACCACTGACACCAAGGGACAGATCAACCAGACAGAAAATGAGCAAAGAAATAACAGAACTGAATCACACCTGTGAACAAATGGGTTTGATAGACATATACAGAATGTTCCACCCAACAACATCAGAATACACATTCTTCTCTGCAGTACATGGATCATTTTCTAAAATAGACCATATATTAGCTCACAGAACATATTTAAGCAAATGCAAAAGAGTTGAAATCATCCCTTGCATATTATCGGATCATAGCGCTCTGAAATTAGAAATTAATGACAAAGGATACTGCAAAAATTCCGCAAACACATGGAAACTAAATAACACACTCTTGAGTAATCAGTGGGTCACAGAAGAAATTAAAGAAGAAATTAAACAATACCTAAAAGAAAATGAAAATGCAGATACAACTTACCGGAATCTGTGGGATGCAATGAAAGCCGTTCTGAGAGGAAAATTTATTGCACTGAGTTCCCACATCAGGAAAGCAGAACGAATACAAATAAATAACTTGATGCTACACCTCAAACAGCTAGAAAAAGAAGAGCAAGTCAAGCCCAAAGCCAAAAGAAGAGAGGAAATTATAAAAATCAGAGCAGAAATCAATGCAATAGAGACTAAGAAAACAATCCAAAGAATCAATGAATCAAAGAGTTGGTTCTTTGAAAGAATAAATAAAATCGATAAGCCCCTAGCCAACCTTATTAAAAAAAGGAAAGAAAAAGCTCAAATTCATGCAATAAGAAATGAAAAAGGAGAAATCACTACAGACCCAATAGAAATACAGAGGATCATCAACACCTATTTCGAAAACCTCTACTCTCAAAAGTTTGATAACACAGAAGCAATAGACAGATTCTTAGAAGCATATGAAGTACCAAAGCTAGATCAAGAGGATATAAAACTGTTGAATAACCCAATCTCTGCTAATGAAATTGAAAATGTAATTGGGTCCTTGCCCACCAAGAAGAGCCCAGGCCCAGATGGATTCACTGCAGAATTCTACAAGAAATATAAAGAAGACCTAATGCCGACACTCCTCAAACTATTCAATGAAATTGAAAGGGAAGCAATCCTTCCTAAGTCATTCCTGGAAGCAAATATTACTCTAGTACCAAAACCTGAGAAAGACCCAACTATAAAAGAGAACTATAGACCGATCTCCCTAATGAACACAGATGCAAAAATCCTCAATAAAATATTGGCAAATAGGATCCAGCAAATCATCAAGAAGATTATACACCATGACCAGGTGGGATTCATCCCAGGAATGCAAGGATGGTTCAACATACGCAAATCAATAAATGTAATCCACCATATCAATAAAGCCAAAAATAAGAATCACATGATCATCTCTATAGATGCAGAAAAAGCCTTTGATAAGGTCCAACACTTATTCATGATAAGAACTTTACAGAAAATTGGAATAAATGGTCTTTACCTCAATATAATAAAGGCCATTTATGACAAACCAACAGCCAGCATCATACTAAATGGCCAAAAATTGAAAGCCTTTACTTTAAAATCGGGTACAAGACAAGGATGTCCTTTATCACCACTCCTATTCAATATAGTACTGGAAGTACTAGCCAGAGCAATTAGGCAAGAAAGAGAAATAAAAGGGGTAAAGATAGGAAAAGAAGAAGTTAAATTATCATTGTTTGCAGATGACATGATACTCTACATAGAAGACCCCCTAAACTCCATTGAAATACTCTTAGATACAATAAATAAATTCAGTAATGTGGCTGGATACAAAATCAATACTCAGAAATCAATAGCATTCCTATACACGAACAACAAAATTACAGAGAGGGAAATAAGAGAAACTGGACTATTCACATTAGCAAGCAAAAAAATGAAATATTTAGGAATTACTCTTACGAAAGAAGTGAAAGACTTATACAGTGAAAATTATAATACACTGAAAAAGGAAATTGAAGATGATCTCAGAAAATGGAAAGACATCCCTTGCTCATGGATAGGAAGAACAAACATTGTGAAAATGGCCATTCTCCGAAAACTGCTATACAGATTCAATGCAATCCCAATAGAAATACCATCAATATACCTTATAGATCTAGAGAAATCACTCCTAAATTTCATCTGGAACCAGAAGAGGCCTAGAATCGCAAAGGCAATTCTAAGCAGCAAAGACAAAGCAGGAGGCATCACAATCCCTGACTTGAAGTTATACTACAAAGCAACAGTAGTAAAATCAACATGGTATTGGAATCAAAACAGAGCTGAAGATCAGTGGAATAGATTAGAAGATACAACCACAACTACGAACACACTCAACCACCTTATTTTTGATAAAGGAGCCAAGCAGGTTCACTGGAAGAACGACAGTCTCTTTAATAAATGGTGCTGGAAAAACTGGCTCTCCATTTGCCGAAAACTAAAGCTAGACCCATGTCTATCACCATGTACTAAATTAAAATCTAAATGGGTCAAAGATCTGAATATTAAAACAGAAACACTAAATCTATTGGAAGACAAAATAGGTAGAAACCTTGGAGACATAGGAGTAGGTAAAGAATTCATGAACAGGACTCAAACCGCACGGGAAATACTTCCCAGAATCAATAACTGGGACCACTTCTTATTAAAAAGTTTCTGCATGTCAAAAGAAATCTCCAGCATAGTGAAAAGAAAACCCACAAACTGGGAAAAGATTTTAGTGAACTCTCTCTCAGACAAGGGCCTCTTGTCTAAAACATATAAAGAATTAAAGAAACTCAGACCTCCGAAATTCAAAGATCCAATCCAAAAATGGGCATCTGAGATGAATATGCAATTCTCAGATGAAGAAATGCAAATGGCAAATAAATACATGAAAAAATGCTCATCATCATTGGTCATTAGAGAAATGCAAATTAAAACCACACTGAGATACCATCTCACTCCTGAAAGAATGGCCAGGATCAAGAAAACCGACAACAAATGCTGGAGAGGCTGTGGGGAAAAAGGAACTCTCCTGCACTGCTGGTGGGAGTGTAGACTGGTACAGCCTTTGTGGAGATCTGTCTGGAGATTTCTCAAAAAGATGGGACTGGAAATCCCATTTATTCCAGCTATTCCACTTCTAGGCATATTCCCAGAAGAACTGAAAGCATCATACCACAGTTATATATGTGCACCTATGTTTATAGCAGCACAATTTGTAATCGCCAGATCTTGGAAACAACCCAAGTGCCCATCAACTGAGGAATGGATAACAAAGTTGTGGTATTTCTATACAATGGAGTATTATTCAGCTATAAAGAAGGATCACATTGAGATATTTATCAATAAATGGGCGCAGCTTGAGACCATACTCATTAGTGAAATAAATCAATCTCGCATGTGTGAATACCGAATAGTTTCCCTAATGTAAATAATGATTCAAATATATAAAAATATGTGGTAATCATGATTCCCCATTAGGTGGCCTTGAAGCCTTATAAAGTTTTCACTCATTAATTAGAAAGGCTTTATTCTGGGCTTCTTGATATGAAAATATTTGAAGCTAGAGTATATGAAGTTTTATCCAAATATTTCAAGGAAAAAGACACTATGGTAACTACTATTAAGTCAGGTTATAAGGTGGTGAAGTACTAGGTTGTTGAAACAGTCATGCTGTGACCTCTATTGTTATATTGTTATGTCCTGTTTTATCTCAATCTCCCCCTTATTGTTTCAAAAAAAATTATTTAGTCATTTCTTATGTTTGTCTTAATTAAAGAAAAAATTCAAAAAAATTAGGATATATAAATAGTAACTCTTTTTGATTTCCTATTAACTTGTTTTGAAGTCCTGTAGTACTCCCACGATCTTGTTTTGACTGATTAGACTCTGTTCCATTCTATATGATAGTATCAAGTTTGAAGACATAGGCAACTACTTTGAAGACAATAAGATTCACTAAGATACCCATTCTGGTTTGACTATTGTCTTCTTTGGAAGTCCTGTAATGTTTACAATGCCTAAGTTTTATTGGTCTTGTTCTCTACTGTTTTGTCCAACTTTATAATATCTAATGAGATAGACAATTCTTTTTAAGGAAACAAGGGACAACGTTGATAACCATTGTTGATAAACTTGTACTCTGTTCTACACCATGTGCTATGTCTATCCTTGGTATTGACTGACAGCTTTGTTTTGCCATATTTGACTGTATTCTTCCCCCCCCCCAAAGAAAGTAATAAGCACTAAGGAGTAATAAAATCCAAGATGTGTAAATTTTGTTGTAAAAAAGAGAGGGAAAAAAAAAAGAAAAAGAGCTCTAACGGATATAACAGCAAGTGTGTTTGGGGGTGTTAAATAGCTGACTTTATCAATGTTTTTGGAACATTGAACACAACTGTTTGCAGTCTCCCTGTTTGAATGTCCACCTTGTGTTCTTAGATACTGTGATTTGAGGAACTATTTTCAAGAAGATAGTGTGTAATCTACTAGCAGGTGATTTCTTACTGTTATGTTTTTTTGTTTTGTTTTGTTTTGTTTTGTTTTGTTTTGTTTTGTTTGTAGTTCTGTATTGCGTGTACCCTTACGCCGCTTTGGTTTGTTTTGTGTTTTTCTCTTTTTCCTCTTAAATAAAAAAAAAAAAAAAAAAAAAAAAAAAAAGCTGCAGCAGTTCAGAGAGGTCGGGGTCACGTGCACTGAGAATTTAAGAGAACTGTAAATAAGAGAAACTCAAAGCATGCAGTTGAGAGAACCCCTGGTTTTTGCCACAGAGATTACAGCATTCTACAGACTGTCATTCTGTAGAGATGAGGAAGAAGGATCAAAACAAATGTGACACACCTAATGAACCATTCTTAGGCACTTTAAATGTGTGACAATTTAAGTGTCTGCAAGTAAGACCAAGACACAGGTTACGTTCAAGTCTAAAACTATAATCAAAGCTATCCCTGTCCAGGTCATTTCAGGTTACCCACCCACTTGGCTGTTTTGGCGAGTAGGTCTAAACTTCGCCCTGAAGCAGAGTTGGAGGACTATCTGAGCATTCTTGTTGAACAAAATGATTTTTTCTGGATTGAATGAAGCTTCTACAGACACATCAGCAATGCTTTGTGACCTGAAAGACATAAGTGGCAACAGGTACATGAACATTGGTAGTGAGCACACACATGACCACTACATAAAGGACCCAATACCAGCACTAATGCGTCTTTCTTTCCATTTTCTATCTGAGTGCTTTGGCAGTATTTTCCAGTTGAATACACTTATGATGGTAGGCAGAGACAAAGTCTTTTACGTTTATGACAGCAACACAGCACAATCCACATACAGTATTTTTATAAAATAAGCACGATCACAGGATGGAAATCTGCAACCTCTTTTCAAGTGAGATTCCAAAGTATGGTTTCTGGTATGTTTTGGCAAGTAGAAGCAGTGTTTTTTTTTTTGTCATCCCACAAAAGCAGGGAAGAGGGAAGATGGGGATGTGGAAGTGGCATAGATGAGGAGTGTGGTCATGGCTTTTCCCCACTACCTCAGTGATTGGTAGAAATCCTTTGAAAGGTTTATGGCCATAATGATGGCAACTAGTTCCCTATCAGTAAAACACTGAGGAGTCCAGTCGGCAGGGTGCCATAGAGCTCTGACCCTGGAGCAGCCCTTTACTATCTAATAGATGGCTTCATTTGCTCCTTATAACACTCCTATGAAATATGAGATCACATACTCTGGCTACTGAATCGCAAAAAAGTCTGAGACTCTGACATCTGGTGGCCTACCAGTTTACTGAGTAGTAGCCCGTGAGAAAGTAGAACCTATAGTCTCTGAATTCCTGATCAGTGGGGTTTATACTTCATCATAATAACCCCCTGTGTGTACCTTCAACTATCTACAAAACACCATCAATAATTAGCACATTCATTATTTTGAAAAGTACCAGAAGACACAGAAAACCTTTCCTTTTAATTTCAGATAGGACTCCAGTTAACTGAAAAATTATTTTAATAGTTATTACGTATTTATTGGGCCTCCTAATAAGCAATTATAAAACATTTAATGAGACATGCAAACAGTATTCAAATGTATGAGATCTAAAATTCTTTTTTTTTTTTTTTTGAGATCTAAAATTCTTTAGAGAATGTTTTCTTTAAGGGATTCTTTTTCTGAGACTAAGTACTTATTTCAAGAGAGATGTCATTGATTTACATATTCTGCCCACTTATTTAAAAAAATTATTCTTAGGGAATTACCTGGTAAAACCAGTCTAAGCACCTAATGGGAAAGTAGCCACAAAACAACATTAACCTGACTTGATGGGTCATCTCAGTACACTAAGCTGACTTCACATGTCTTGATTTTCTTTAAAAAGTCTCAAATCCAAAGTGAAAAATTTGGGGACTGGGGATTTAGCTCAGTGGCATAAAGCGCCTGCCTTGCAAGAACGCAGTCGTGAGTTCAATCCCCGGTACTGATAAAAACAAAACAAAACAATAAAGTGAAAAGTTTGGCTGTTACTGACTACATTAAAAAGGAGTGTCATTTCATACCAAGACATTCACTGATATGATTTTTATTAAATCATTTAAAAACAAGCCATATAGATATATATAGATATATCACATTTTGCATTTATTCTTGGCATGAGATTCTTATATGATTTTAATTAATTTTATTCAGTAAATATATTTTCTTGTTTTTCATAGTCCTAAGTACTATTTCTTATTTCCCCACATAATACAATAGTTTCATTCTGCAATAAAAATAATACATTTTATTCATTTAAAGCATGTGAGGTTTGCAAATTGCATCGTTAAATCCAGAAGTCACAAAACATCAATAAATAATGTTTTTCTGTTATTGATATATTTGGGTATTTAAAGCACATTTTAAATACAGATGACCAATTGAATGGGGACACTTAATAATCAACTTTGTTCTAATTCCATCCCCTCATCAGTCCATGTACATATTTTTGACCTTTATCAGATGACTTTTAAATCCTTTCTTTACCTTTTGTTCTTCAAGTACTACAGAAGTCAAAGAGAAGTCAGATAACCCTAAATAATAGCTTCTTGCTTATGACTAATAATTTTAAACTGTACCCTTTAATCCATATGAAGTTTTACTTGTGTAATTTGAATGTTCAGTAATTTCAGTGCACTTTTATAAAACTTCCTTGGTGTAAGATAAGGATATTTATAAGATAAAATTTGTAAATATCAGAATATCACTTCAAGGGTTTGTCTTTTCTATGTGATCTTTTTACCATATAGAGAAGATAAACTTGATTCTAATACATACATTTATATATATATATGTCATTTGAATCAACATTAGAATTATATATATATGTACACATATTCCCATCCCCATGAAAAAAATTTTTTCCTTTGTATAAACTATGATATATAAATTCCCTATGATCTTTAATAATGCATGTGACTTTTTTTGGTTTTGTGAGACAGGGTCTTGCTATGCAGTTTAGGCTGGCCTTGAACTCACTTTGTAGCTCAGGCTGGTTTTGAACTCACAATGATCCTCCTGCCTCAGCCTCTCAAATATTGGGATTACAGGCATGCATCACCATGCCCATCTAATGTAACATTGTTAAATAGCAGTATAAATAGATATTTTTAGCTAGTTAGTTTGTGTCTGGCATTTACTGACTTACCAGAGTTGAACCACTTGTCCAAAAGCACCAATGGACACATCCGTGATAGAATCCCCGTTTAAATCTCCATAGCCATCTAACGATCTCCCAAAGAACTGGAGCTGACTCCTAAAAGCTCTATCAGAGCCCAAGATTTTCTGAAAAAGCAAGTTTGACATGAAATTATAGAGCCCAATGGCTCAACTAGAATAATGACAACCTCTATATTGCTTCATTATATTCTGTATGTATCATTTTCCAGGTTCTTTTTGTCCTCTACAAAATTCCACTGATTTTTGAAAATCACATCTTATCTGATCTCTATATCACTTTTGCAGTCCTGTTTTCATCACAAAAACAGTATGAATCTTTAATTCAAAATCGCAACCAACACAAAATAGTGAAAAGGTGTGTGGATGGGCAGGAGGTGATCCAGTCCAAAACGTGATTGCTATCTTAGCTTTCTTCCTTCGGGTCTACTCAGCAAGGCTTTCTTAGTCAGTATCTGATGATAACTTTCATCCTTGAAATGTTATTCTCTATCTTAGTTATATTTTCTTGTTTTTATTCTTTGCGCATTTATAAATATGTGAGAACATTTTATCTTATTTATCTATCTCTTTTCCTTCTTTTGTTTCTTCTATGAGAATACAGGACCCATGAAGAGCAAAATTTTGACTTTCCTACTCTTTAACATCCACAGTTCTTGGAACTTAATAAACACTCATTAACTATTTTCTTAGTGAATGAAAGAAGTTTATAAAATAAGTGGGATGGATTCTATGATATACATGATACTGCCTAGCTTGAACATGATGATATTCATATGGAAATACATTATTGTGTAGCTCATCAATCACCTGGGAATACTTTGTGCGAATAGTACCCTGATCACCATTGTAAATGTATACAGCTCCAGAATTCTGGTTTTCTAAAGGGGAACCAACAATCACATCATTATAGCCATCCATGTTGATGTCCGAAAGAGCTGCAATTGCTGATCCAAAGCGAGCATTTTCAATCCCTTCAGGGCCTTCAAGAAATTGGTGCTGATTCAAAATGCCCTAGCAAAGAAAAAAAAAGATGGGGGACAATTAAGGCAAACCTATCAACTCATACATAGTAATTAATATTCATAGTAATTGATGTCCAAATAATTTTCAAATTGCTAAAAGTGGACAGCGTTTTAAACATAGAATTCAAGGGCCAGGTCCTGAGTGTAAGATCCTGAGTTTGAGTCCTGCTATAAATAAATAAATAAATAGAAAGAAATATAGAATTCAAAATACTCTATTCATAGTGAGAATTATAAATACAAATTGCAGTGTGTAAAGCCATAAGAAATCTGCTCATAAGCCAAGGTGAAAAGACGTCATTTCCTTTTCTATAGTGGAACAACTTACATAAAAGTGACCTTGCATTCCTTTATCTCCATTTTCCTTTGTTTCTTCACCTGTTTCCAAACCTTTTATTTAAACCTCCTCTGATAAATATGTAGTATCCTCAATTACATTGCTAGGCACATACACTAAATTAAAATGTGATAATCTCTATTTTACCAGTAGAGGCATAATTATAATGAAATAGGAAGTGGAAAATGAGATTGTTAATATTCCATTAAAAGAAACATTAAATAATTCTACCCAAAGGAAAAGATATTTTCTGGTACAACATATAGTTTTTCCTTCAGATTTTGTAATGCATCTGGAAATATTTCATGACTTCACAAGAAAGCCATGCTCTCAACAATGAAATTTGTTCACTATTCTTCTTCTTCCCTTAAAATTTCATGGAAATTAATTTGGTCTCGATTTTGATAATATATTAAGGGATATTTTACTTTTCAACAATTAATACCAGCGTGGCATATCTGACATGTAAGAACCATCTAAGAAACTAGAGATCTATTGAATTTTCAAATAAGAAGATATGCTTTCCCCTTATACAATTAAATATTGTTTATGCATACAATTATAATGGTTTTAATTGCTTTTACTAAAAGTTTAATTTTGCATTAATTTAAATAAATATGACAAATATCACAAGCAAATGACCATAATCATTGCCAAATGTTACCTTCATTCTCTTATTCCCTTTCTAGTTATCTAATTTTCTATGTAAATCTGTGCCTTTAATTAGGTTTTCCAGTCTTACTATGTTTATCTACATACATCTGGAAAGTTTAGTTTACAATTTGGAAAAATTGTGCTTTTTTGTAATAGGGTGGGCTAAGTTTTATACATAAAGATTTGAAACTCCAAGAGTTGGATATATGCCTACTTACACCAAGTAATGGAATTTCATGACAAACTAATGTAAAAAGCATCTGATATTATTATCTTTTTATTTTTAAAAATTGTGATACTTGGAAAATGTGCAAGGTTTATATGTATACATATGTGTATTTCAAAAATGATGTTTATTTATAATGATTTTCTTTATATAAGGCTATATATTCAAAAATGACTTAGAAAAATAGTAATATAGTATATATTAAACCCTCATGACTTTTATGGTGATTTTTAAAGTCAGAACTTAATAATGACATCCTCAAACTTACGAAATTCAAACTGTATTAACCATGAAAATTCAAATTAATTCTTTCAAATCTTATCAGTCTAAACATGTATTAAAATGTCAGTTTAATTTTTCTTACCTTTGCAATAGTAAAAAGGTAGACTCTTCCCTCCTCTTTCTTGAGGTCATTCATGTATGTTGGTGCACCTACCAAGAGCACATCTGTAATGGTGTCTTTATTCACATCCACGGAGCACAACACACTACCAAAATAGGAGCCAATCTGAAGCAGTAAAATATATTAATCTTAGGATTACTGAGATTTATATACATGTAATGCTAAACTGTTGTTAATTCATGTTTACTACTTGTAAAGTGTTAGGATCATAAATATAAGCAACATGATCCCTTCTACCATCTAACACTTGGTTCTTGAATCTTACTGTACTTAAGAAGAATCAAGAAAATTTCTTTGGAATACAGATTTCAGAAACCCATCTCTAGAGATCCTGATGAAATGCCTAGCATGTGATTCTGAAAAAAAGCATTTTAAAATAAGAACTCCAAGTGTTTCTGAAGCTGGCAGGCCAAAGGACACATTAATGAGGGAAACCCTTAATCAAGATATATTGTAGAGAAAGGCAGAAGTAGACTCAGAGGGAACAAATCACCATGCTTCTGTGGTAAAATATACTGTTACCCAGTCAAATCCCTGATGCAGACTGATCAGAGTAGAGTAGAGTCAGGATGCTCAGAAAAATCAAGTGGTATTTGCATTGCATCTTAAAGAAGACAAGGAGTGTCTATGTGGAGAGAAACGGGAAAGAATGAGTGAGTGATTTGTCCATCACATGGCCTGGGATAGGTAAGTGGTTGCCAGATAGATTAGGGCAGGAGGAACAGATACAGACACAGTAAAGGAGACTAGGAATATGAATGCCCATCCTATTCACCAATGTTCAATTTGTGCCCACATGAACCCTTCTTAAGGATTCAGAAGTTGATAAGACATAATTGCTACAGAATAATTGCTATGCATTTTCTCAAAGTAAATACATTCTTCTTTAAAATTTAAAGTACATAGCAATAAGTAGTTGTTGACCAAAGAGGTGAAGAATGCAGAGTTTACTCTAGAAAATTCAGAGCAACAGCAGGATTAGATTTAATACCAGAGAACAGAAATCTGCACTTAGTGTTTCCTTCCCACAGAAGGAAATCAATTTCTGTTGGTTGTCAGGGTACAGGGCTGCTTGGTTTAAGTAGATATGAAGCCTGTGGGACAGAACTTCTTAGAGAGGAAACAGGAATCACTGATTTGGTAAAAATATAAAATTAGTTTTACCGGTTAAACAGTGATATTTGCTACAATGGGTTATGCTAGAATTCACCATAGGGTCTGACCAAATGGCCACACATAAACAGAAAGTGGCAGGTAAAAAAAGACTTGTTTGACGTCTATAAACATCAAGGAGAACAGGACACATTCACAGGCCCAGATGTAGATATTTCATTTTTATGATGCTATACTATTTCCTTTCCTTTATTTCTCCTCCAGATCCTTGGTTCCTAACATTGTCTTGCCTACAAAACAGTAATTAGATTCCTGCCACTAATAGTCTGCATAGACAAAAATATGGATGAAAATGTAACCAAACAACAGAGGAGTTGAGGCCAGATAGAATTGGGTTGTAATGACAGTTCAACTCCAGTAGAGCTACGTGGTCTTAAAAAGCCAGTTAAACTCTCAATAACCTGTCAAAAAGGGATGGTAGGTATTTTAATACAGTTGTGAAGATTTAAGATATACTTGTACACAAAAGAGTGGAAAGTCAAACACAAAAGAGGCACTCAATAAAAGTTAGCTTTCGTTTTTACCCACCTGTTCCAATTGCCCTTAAAATTAGTTTTACCTGTTAAACAATGATACGTACCTGATCCCCTCTATGAGTCTGAATTATCGTGACATTGCCATGCTCATCAAGATTATATAGAATTATCTGGCCAGTATAATTTGCCCGAGGAGCACCAGCAACAAAGTAGACACTTTTTTCAGTAGAAATTGCAGCCACAGAGTAACCTAAATGAGGAGTCATAGAGTTAGTGGCACTGACTATTTCAGACAGATAAGGTTTGCAAATCTAGTAGAACTGACAAGAGGTCCTTTTGTGTTAGCTGTGATACACAGTTCCTGGTGCCCCTGAGTATATGTGTCTGCCTATTTCGATAATGCACTGCTCCTGCCCTTTCACTTCTATCATTGCCTAGCACGGGGAGAAATTCATTTATACAGGCAGCCCTAGATTCTGATTCACAGCATCAGCCTCGAATTGTACATTTGCTTCTTAGTAGATTGTTTCAACTTTAGGCAAGTTGGTAGCCCTTCTGGGTATAAGAGTAGTAGGATTTCAAAGTTTAGGTAGATAGAAAAACCAACTCAGGAACTGCCCCACAAAAAGTGCTCAGAATCAGTGGTTCTTTATAAGAGAAGCAAAATATTAGTGACTCTAAAAGAATATAAAGTTATACCTCAATATACCGACTTTAGAAAAAAATTTCATTTTGGAGGAACACAATCATACTGCAGGAATTACATAAACTGATTGGGCAGCCAAAGGAGATTTGTGTGTCAAACACAGTGCTTCATTAAGTACATAGGAGCAGACGCTTGATGGCAAAGAGGCACTTTTATCGTACATTAGATGGCAGTCCAGAGGTTTTGCTGAACTGACCTTGAGATTCAACAAAGAGCTGGTTTAAAGGAAGGAAACTTTAGTTAGGTGAACCAAACATGCCTATACCTTACCTAAATATGAACTGTGATTTCTATCTTGCAGAATTTGGTCAAAGGTTTCTTTAGGAAAGATTGTGTGTCCATGGGCAGTCTCCTGGACAATGGTCCCACTCCAGGCAAAAGCTCCCACTGCACCTAACATCAGAATATCCTATAATAATTGAAAAATGAAGATCATTAAGATGAATGACCTCTAATGTATAAGAGAAAAGCATAGGTAAATCAATGAAATAAGTAGTCTATATTTAATGAAAATAAGCATTAATGAAGTAAACCATACATACTTATATGACAATATATCCCAGAATTTTTAAAAATAAACTAGTATTAGAAAACAAGCCTTACCATTGGCTATATTATCTTGGCTATGTTATCTTGGCTTGTACTTACTCTGACATATGATACAGATAAATCTTTACAAAGAGCAGCAGTTACACAGCTATCTTCAAATTTCCATTCAAACTTATACATTTGTAAGTTTGGAGCCCTTCTGAGCTTCTAGAAAGAGTCAGAAGTGAAAACTTCTAGCTCCGCATGTCATTGGAAGAGCCACAGAGGTTAGGAGCGTGCTTGTGTGACAAGAAGTGCTGGCTTCAGAGTAGGGAGGAGCCTACCTCTGCTCTCTGAGCCATGTCAGGGCAGGCCCCATTCCCACCTTCTGTATTTTCAGTTTCCTTTGTTGTGTCTTTCTCAAATGTTCCTCCAATATCCTGATATCCTATTTATTTAATAATACTACAACTATAAAAGGCTCCTGTGGCTATCACGGTCCCATCTATTGAAGAAAAATAGGCAAAGGATTTTCCTAGGTCAGTGGTCAAACAAACCAGGCTACTCTGTACTGGCCCAAACCTGATCTAATTAGTCAAAGATACAAATCACCAGAGGAAGTATATTGGAGATCAGGGAAGACGTTATTTTTGAGTTTTTGGTGCTAGATATTAGAAAACGTGGATATGATTTTGGATTAAAAATAGTGAATAGGGAAATGATGTGTCCAATTTTGAGGCTAAGAGACCAAGAAATTACATGAACATGAAATCAGAAGCTCTGAATGGAGGTTCATGAATAGATTTTAGGGAATACAGAACACCTCATGGAGTTTTATGTGAAATATTCTACATGTAGATTCATTTACATTTTTTTCTATGGGAAAGAGTTAGAACTTTTATGAGTATCTTGAAAGATTACTGACCCAGAAAAAATTAGTACATTTTGTTTTAGACCGAGAATGAGATGTTCTTGGTCCTCGAGCTACCCCTGAGTTGATATTGTTCCCTAACTAGTTCCCAGGGCTTCACATCTATTTGATCTTTCCACTTTCCCATTCACATCCTAGGGAGAATGAGAATCAGAGGTTTGGAGGGGGATATTTCTGACAAAGAAGAATGAACTTCTCAGAGCGAAGAAGTCGCTCCAATTCCATCTCACATTTTCCCCTCTCATTGGTTTTCCAACTATTTGTCTCTTTTCTTAGAAAATGATAATATGGCAACTCAGAAGGTAACAATGTCAGAAATGATGAGAGTTTGTGTTTTTGATGAATGTCTGCAGCAGTTAACTGATTCAAAGGAAATCCTGCCTGAGTCAGACTGAAAATTAATATAGTGAATGTACCCTGGAGCATGCAAATTATTCCATTATATTATTTTTTTTTTCTTCCCCATAGAACATCTCTGAAGTAGGGAAGACATTGTTATCCTTAATGTGTTAGTTGGTAAATCAGCAGCCCGATGAAGCCTGACTGTGAGTTCTACAATTGTTGGTCACCAGCTGACTGTTTTTCTGACTTTATGTATAAGCTACGTGTCTGGAAATGTCTTACAAAAGAACAACATGGCTTAAAATTATCCAATATACGCACATTTTGAGGAGAGTAATCTGCACTGAATCCTACTTGTGACATTTCCAACTGGATGTTCTCTCCTCCTTGAACAGTACCTGAGAAATACAGTGTCAGCGCTTACATTAGTATCAGCAATTGCAACTCAGGTTTTCAGTAATAGGCAGACATCTACACACATATATATGTACCCACACATATAGCATTCTAATACACATCTAAAAATATATACAGAGGATTCTAGAAGATAAAAGTGCTAAGGAAGAGTTCTAACATAATACAGAAGTCCACAGTACTTGCAAGGTACTATTCAAAGTTAGCTTTAATATTAATCGGGCATTAATATATTTAACGGAATTATCATGAAATTTCTAATACCAAAAAAAACCTCAACCAAAGAATAATATGAGGTTAAGACAAAAATTTAAGTCCTGGTTTTATTTTTCATTTATCATTACTACTAAGAGACTAAGTGAATTTTTAGCTATCAAATGCTGGTACCACTAAACACACAAATATCTCAGGTGCAGTTAGAGTAGCTAGGCAATTGATTTACAGGGGAGCCTATGCTCAGAAATATTTAGGTTAGCCATTTGGAACCAAGATTCTGGATTGAGTGGGAGTTTTATCAGTTGCTAAGTCTGTCCTAGTTTTACATATGTACGTGTCTCTGTCTCTGACACTGTAAAACTCAATTAGTTCTCATTCATTTTCCACGTAGTTTGGTAGTGAGCAAAATTTATGTTTCATTAATGATCAGAAAAAGGCAACTAAATCTTAGACTGACACTGTAATAAAGAAGAAATTGTACTATATGACATAGTCTTGTTTAGAAGATGCAATAATTTACATAAGATGAATATAATTGATTTTTAATAAAATAGCACAGTGCTTCTCAAACTAATAATGTATAAATAATGTACAAAATCATTTCTAGTTAGTTTTCAGATGAGATGAAGTTGTTTTTTTATGCCACTATAAACAAATACGATTAAAAGCATTGACAGCTTGATAATCTTATATTATCTCAGAGAAAATTACATTTTGGTAAGAATTTAAACAACTTAAAAGTATTAAAGAAATAACAAAACTGTTTGATTAGAAATTTCAGAAGATAAGGATCAAGATTGGATTACAGCAATGAGCTTTTTAAATTTATGCAATCCCCTTCTGAGCAGTACTTGATGAGTAAGTGTTTAATAAAACACTTTCTTCATTTTCAAGGGTTACTTGTCTTTATCATCTGGAACCAGAATTTGAGTTCTGTGAGACTTTTTACTCACTTTAAAATGTGTTCCAATCCTCCACATGTTGACCTTCTGGAAATGTGATGTTTCTACACTGACTAGACTTCCAGAGTTACATAAGTAAATTATTTTAGGCCCAATAAGTACTCCCTCAAAACTGAATAATGGAAAATTTACACTGTTATTTTTATATGTTTTAAAGCACATGTATTTATTATAAACAAATTCAAGAACTTCAGAAATGATGTAACATATAGAAGATAAAACTATGATTATGATATTGCTAAATTGTCTCTTACCAACTGTGTATGAGCTTCTTTGCTTCCAAGTAATCTCTCTAAAATTCAATATTATTAAAGTGTGCCATTTCTAGACAATACAATAGCGGTTGAATTTACATCTTAAACTGAAGTTGAGAATATTTTTTTATGTTTACTGACTGTATTTTCTCTTTTAAAATAATTTTGTCATTTTTTTCTTACTGATCTGTAGGAGTTCCTTTTATACAAGGTACACAAGTTATCATTTACAGGCCTAAAATGTGATCATAAAATAAAATGTGATAATAAAATCTTTTACCTTCAATGCTGAAAATGTGTTCTCCTATCGTCCCAGCCTTTTCTAGTAGGGCTGCTTCATCAGCCACATTGAAAAAGAATCTTTCTGTGGGGATACTAGCAATTGATTTGATTTCTTTTATTAAATTTTTAGTGTCAAGAGCATTTCTGTTTAAGTATCCAAGAACCTAGAAAATAATGGAAGAAAACAAAAGATCATTCCCTCTGTTCCACATTTTTCTAGTAGCATATTCTAGTCTATGCCTGAGCATCACAGTTCCTCGAGAAGCAAACCAAGTAACATTCCTGTAACTGTTTATTTAGTTGACTGAAAATCAGCAGGAAGTAGAGCCAGAAAATCTTTTTATAATAAACCACTAGTCAGTGAGAAAGTGCAGGCTTGAAAAATAATGCCATCAAGGAACATACACCACCAACAACAAAACAAGTACAAAGAAACATCACTTACAGCTATACCAAACCTCAGTATGTTGTCGTTGTTGCACTGCTCAATCACAGATTTCAACATTGAACCGTCATGGGATTCTCCATCAGTTACAACTACCATTACTTTGGTAGCACCTGGGCGACCACCAGAAGCTGCTGAATAAGCGTTAGTCCTGTAGCAGACAGAAGACTCCCCATCAATAGATGAAGTTAACAGGTTTGAAACAAAAATAAGAAACTAGCTTCTTTAAGCCCAACCTATCAGGATTTAGAATTGTTGATATTGGTGTTAAGAGCCCTCTACTGTATTTGTAGCTTGTAGAATAACATACAAAAATAGAATTCTTGCTTGGCATTGGCAAGAATTCTTTCATGGCATATGTATACATGTGTGTGTGTGTGTGTGCGTATACTCCAGGAATCCTTAGAATAACTATTTAAAAGAAAATTCAACTCATTAATATTAGTCAACAGAGCAAAGATACTATTGTCATAAATTTAATTCACTGGACCCATGTTTACTTTTCCACACCATTTTTTAAATAATAGAGATAATGGTCAAAAAATTTAAACTACTTAACTTTGCATAAAAAAATTTGACACTAAGCTCCTCCTCCAAAGGTAGTCACTAGTCTCAGTTTCTTATGCTTCCCCCTAGAAAGTGCTTTATTTATAATATAGGCATAGTGCATAGTTTCTTCCTGAACTTTCATACAAATAAGGGCATGTTTTGAATATAAGTGGTTGTTTTTCATTCTTACAGGAAGTTTCTGTATTATCACATATAGAGCCCTAATTCATTTTTAATGTCTACATAATATTTCATTATTTGGAGGTACTAGTTTATTTAACTCATTTTGAATTATTAAAAAATTTAGGCTATTTTGAGATTTATAAGTAATGCTATAATAAATATTCTATATACACATTTTTTCATACTTTTCCAAATGTATCAGTGAGATAAACTCAGTGAAATTTTTAGGACAGTTTGTATACATGTTTAAAATTCTAGTAGATAACATAAATTATCTCTCTGACATTTCTGTCAGTTTATATTATCTTTTGTGTAAAAGTAAGAATGAAATTACCTCTTCCCTGACAATGAAGTTTATTAAAATTTTTTAAATTTGGTACTGTGATTACTGAGAAATAATACAATAAAATTTTCCCCAGTTCATTGATCATCTTTTGGATTTCAGTATACAGAAATGTTATGTGTTCATGTAATCAAAGTCATTAATCTTCTTGTCCCTTTTATTCTTGACATGGTATTTTACAGACTTAAAACCAAAGATATTTTTTAAGTCACAGGTTTCATAAACCTTTAACGGTTTGATTTTCTCCGATGTAAAATTTTAGTCCAGGTGAAATCCACTTTGATGTGAAGAGTAAAGCATGTCTGCAGCTTTGTTTTGTTTCTAGATACCTGGCCAGTTGTTGAACAATTTGTTTTCCTTCTGACTGTTGGATTGTCCTGTTACACATGTCACCTACTCTTTTTGAATAAACTACACTTATATGATACTTTAACACTTATATTTTCTGCTGTTTCTTTCATCTTCAAATTTATGTATCCATGTTTACTAGATATTTTTCCTGAACATGTCAGGAGCATTGAAGGTCAATGTACTTAAAACAGCTTATCATTTATTCTTGAAGTATTTTGTGTAGTTTTATTAAAAGTCAAAATGTAGTAAGCTTTCCATAGCTCCCAGCTACAAACTTATAAATTATAATACTCACATCAAATCCTTTTTGAGTAAAGTATATCCCTTATGACATACTGTCCATTTCAAATATGTTTATAAAGTTTTGAGGATTAAAATAGTACCTCATTTAATTTTGATTGTCTGCAGACTTTGAGCAATAAACTGCAATATAACCATTCAGAAGTAAAATGAATGAAAACACGACAGTATTTGTTCAATGTGTGAGAAATGTATTGAGTAATTTAAGGAGCAGGGGGAGGGAAAGAGATGGAGAAATGAGTAAGAAGTTAGATTCTTCTAGCAATAAAGGATTAAGTCATGTTAGCTTGAGGAAAAGTGGTGCTACAAAGGAGGAAACCAACGTTTTGGAAAGATGATGAAAGCCAGACTTTCTCAACAGATAGTGACCGTTATTTTGGAGGGAAAGGCTTGTCAGGCCTTGGGCTGCTTCCAGTGGCAAATGCCACACCCACACTCCCGCTGAAAACAGGTACTTCAGCAGTTTCTAATCCTAACGAAGTTGCCTTGTAACTCAACAGTATTTTCTCCTCTTCATCTGGTTCACTGAACCAGAAAGGACGCTTAGCCTAGTAATGATAGCTGATGTACTGAATGGCAGAAGTATAGGAGGTGACTTGACCCAAAGTGACAACTTAATAGAGACAAGACAGATTAAAGCAGTTGTATCTTCTTTTGTGGGGACTCTCTCTTTGAGACATATGAAGACAGTCATTAATTGGTGGAAGCAATAACTAAAACATACACAGAAAAAAATGCATATATAAAGGGAAATGCAGGAATAGAAATAGCAGGATGTAGTGACCAAGCAGATGTGTGATATAGAGAGAAATGGAAAAAATAAAGAAAATAATGATAAAAATAGTCATTTTATCTGAATGACTGGGAGCGTGAGCAGTAGCATGAAGCAAAATGGCAAAGTCATAGAGTGGCAGGGAAAGCAATAGGCCATGTTAGGATGTTCTGAATTTGGTAGTGAGCCAGCACTCCCAGCACAGCTCCTCAGCATCAGCCGGATGTGGGCATGACTTGGAGAGAAGTCAGGGCTGGCAACACAGCAGCAGGGTGAGCCACACAGAACATGCTGATGCCATGGAGGGGATACAGTGTCTAAGAGAGAATGGTGAGGAGGGAGAGAGGCCTCTGTTCTGTGGAGAAAATCTAGGAGAAAGATTCAATAAAAAGGCAGAAGTTGCTGGCAGAAAGTTGGCAGGGATCCCAGAAGATAGTGGTGTGACTACTGGGTTTAGAAGAGCAATGTTCATCTTTATCAGTGTTCAGGGGAGCTAGAGGATGAGACTGGAGGCACGGCTACTGGGCTAGAAAGATTCACAAGTCATGCTCATCTAGTGGAAGAGTTACAGGCTGCTAGGGAATAAAGGAAGGGATCACAGGTACTTTTTTCAAGGAATTATGGCATTGGAAAGAAGCTATTCAAAAGATGAAAAGGGCCCGAGCAGATTTAAAAGGAAGACAAGTACATCATTCCTCACTTTTTTAACACTTGAAAGGCACAGAATTTTTACAAAACTATCTAGTTAAATAAAGTAAAGGCAGAAGTAATGGAGCTAAACAAAATAGAGAAAATGAGGAAGAAAAGAATAGAGAGACTTAGGTATGGATGAGGTCAATGGTACATGGTTGTAAAGTTCATGCTTCCCACTGAATGTGCCAAGTATCATAATCTCATTCAATGCAATCTAAGTTAATATGTTTAAAATTCTATGGCTCTTGGTAATTAGCATTAAATGCTCATTGACTTAATTTGTGGGAAGTTTTGACAAATATTAAAGGGCATATTTCTTCATTCCTTAATATTTTAATCTAGATCTGCTCATTTAATTTACCTCAAGCAAAGAATATAAAACCATGTCACATCTTATGAAAATCCTAGAGTTAAAGATTTTCCTCTTCATTTCCGAAGTGCTTTCTCAGAATGTTCTAGTCAAGCGCAGACAGATGTCTTCTCTGTTAGTTCTCACTCAAATGTAGCTCCCAGATATATTACTTTTCTTTTTGTTTTTTTCTTTCCTTTTTCTTGTTAGCATAGGCATGGTGTCAGAATGTTGGCCTTTAACATCAAAACTTACCTTGCAAATTGAATTGCTTTGAAAGTGTTTGTGAGGTCCCCGCCAGCCTGGTATGTCTGGGATGTTGCTCGAATCATTTCATCTTTGGTTTTAAAGGTGTTCAGGTTATACACAACTCTTGGGTCATTGGCATACTGAATTAAGGCAACCTTCAAAAGAGCAGAATCTTATTAATGGCTGCCATTATGTTTATAAATAATTTCTATTTAACCAATATAGCAAAAATCAAAAGCGCACATAAATATGGTCTGATGGCTTACAGAAACCACTTCCATTATTTGTTTTCTTGATCACTATATTTCTTTAAGGAGAGTGACTTCTTTATTAGAGGCTCTCATGTATGACAGTAATACTATTGCCCAGAAAGATGATGTGTGACAATCCAGGATTGGCTCTCAAGAGTGATAATTGCAGCATTTTTCATGAACCACTCTATAATCTTTAGTATTGATGAATATTACAATGAAGTTTGTAAAAGACAGATTAGAATGGGTATAAATAAACTTTCTAATTACAGTGTACATAGGGTTGCATACAACTATAAGCTATCATAAATGGAGGGTAATATCTCATCTATTGAGGGGAATTATGTAAGAAAGAATCAGGGCTGAATAATTAAAAAGAAAGAAAACCAAAGTACTCCTGAAGAACAGAGTCCATTTTAACTGTTATCCTGGATTTCCTCTATTGTAGGTTTCAGTATCTTTAGAGAAAAGTGGTTGGACTTGCATGTGTGGTCTTTCAGAAATAATTCCATTAGAGGACCTTATTTGAGAGAGCTGAAAGAAACCCTCCGAACAAGACATTTGGGGATATTTTCTAATCATGGAGGTCAAGAATACCAGAGCCTCCCACAAATGTCCTAGTTCTCAGCCACTGAACTCATTCCCCCTGCCTAGGTGCTGAGGTTTTCTGAACAAGAAACAAGGAGTGAAGGGTAAGAGATTTCCTAGAAGACATTAGCACTGGTCAGCGAAAAGGAAAGGAAGACACAAGGGCTGGATTCCTGAGTTCTGTGCGTTACTGTTAGAAGACAATACACTAGGTATTAGGAAGATGGTAAGTAATAAAGCATGCCTCGATCCTCTTCATAGCACAGGATGTGAGAACTGAGCCAGGGAGAAAGATTGAAAATAACTGAGAATTTCAGTGTCTTATATGAGAGAAGATAGTGGGGTACAGTGAACCCCATGACACCACCCCATATCTTCTTTGTAAGAAAAGGGAAGCATGACTTAATTCCTAGAATTCAGAGATAATTGTTTTACCCTTAAGGAATAAACATAGGAAATTCATTACTAGTCCACATAAAACATAAAAAACACATATCCAATTTTAAAATGTATTAATAAACTCATGGTTTCAAGGCCAAAAACAAGCAGGTATAAAAGTATGAAAATGTGATATTTCCATTCCTCATACCTATTTCAAAAACAAAACTCTAAAGTCAACAGCAAAGTCATGAACAAAATAAAAACTAATAGTAACATAAGTCTCAATTAACTTTGAAGGTTATCATTAAGTGTATTTTATATAGGGATTTGGCAAATGGATAAATTATGAATTCATTTCTAACATTATTTTCTCAGGAAGGAAGCCATAGACTAGTTCATGCACTGCTGATACCCATACCTGTGTCTTTCTGGGGCCTATATCCAGACCTTGTACAAATTTTTCCAAAAAGTTCTTTACTGCCTCCCAGGGATAAATACTGTTCGATTCATCACACACAACCACGACATCTACGAAGGAAGGGCAGGCTACATAGGAAAAGATGGGAGAAACACATTTTATGAGTAAGTAAAGTTTTATACCAATATAAAAATGTGACTTGCAGAGGGGTTTGGTAGACTTGTTGATATTCCACCATTTCAATGCAAGGCATTGTTCCGACCTTCCACACATTCAAGACTTACTCTGAATTGCAGGTGCAAAGCTGGCCAAGTGCTGAAAATCAGGACTGATGTCACAGCAAACACCAGTTGTATAATACTGACTGCCACACTGCTGTGCCCACAGAGGACCACATGTCTTTGAAGAAACAAGAAAAGGTAAATGAAAACACAGTGGGTATGTTTCCCTTCTTGCTCTCCATTTGTGGAACCCAAGAATCATTTCTGTTCTTTTCTAAGACACCAGGAATTGTCAACTCTGGAAACTTTTAACTGCCTTTAATGGAGAGAATCTACTGAATAGGGCAGCTGAGATGGAGAAGATGTAGGTGGCAGATGCCCTGGGACCACTGCAGGCCTTGCAGCAAGTGTAAAGACAATGGCATCATTGGGCTGAGGTCAGAGGAGTAAGGAGCCCAAGGGTTCACTCACTAAGCTGGATTAGGCCTGTTTTCTTACAGGGGACATCAGGAGGACAAGGCATACAGAGCTGATGTATTTGTCTCAGCTTCTTAGGCCTCGTATGCCTCCTATTATAACATGATGACAGTCATATTTACCTCCTACATAGAGTAAACGGTCCACAGATACAAAACCCTTAGAACAATGTCAGGGAAACAGTGAGGGCTAAGTACTTATTAGCCACCCTCTCTGTATTTGTTTTAACATCAGGTTCCTTCTCCATTGTACTCAGAAGAAACCATCAGCCCAAGTGCCTCCAAAGGCCAGAAGAGAACCCTCCAAGAGTGTTTGGGGCCTGTAAAGACACCACAGTGAATGAAGAACCAGTTTTTTGTACAGGAACAAGCAACTGTATCCCTGCCTGCCACTGCTGTGAAACAGACGTCCAAGTTTCTCTTAGAGAGTCATAGAGGGAACATTTTGTGTCATTTCAAACACTTTAGCTGGGTGTGGTATCACAGGCTTGTAATCCCAGCACTTGGGAAGCTGAGGTAGGTGCATCAGTGTGAGTTCAAGGACACCCTGAACTACATAGCAAGACCTTGTCTCAAAAAAAAAAAAAAAATTATGAGTTATTCAAACACAAATGCGGTTCGAGCACTGCCAGTTTTTAAGTTTTCTATAAAGTGTTTACTTCACCTTCAGAAGCCCTTATTTTCCCTTCCTAATTTATTCACCACCAAAATTGCCCAGCATTCACCCCCTTGCCCACATCATCCATACTTTCATTCTTACATTACCAAGTCCAGTTCTTTGCTGTCACTAGCTCTTGGCTAAATGACAAGAACTTCTGATTCAATCATGATTACGGCATATGGGAATATGCCATTTAATTTACGGCAATAGTAAATTAAATGATCTTACAAATATTAATTTTTTTAAAAAAAGGAGAGAAGTGTGAGAAAGAGAAGTCTAAAATTTATCTTCAGTTTTATATTATCTTAACCTAGGGATCATATTTAAAACATTAGGAAACAATTGATCTTAAAACCAATTATTAAAACAGAAGAGGAAAGTGTGAACTTGTAAGAAGCAACTGGAAAAAGAAAATGGAATTTATTTGACCCAGTTTAACTGTCAGAAGATCAATAGTTAGAAGCAGCTGTGCTCGTATTTCATGCTCAATGAACAAAGAATAGCTTTCCTTTTGTTAGGAAAACAGGAAAAAGGCATTATCAAAGCATCTGGCTAGTTTTCCAAATAACAGATACTAGTTACTTATTTTTGTGTCTATAGTACTGTATTTTTTATATCACCTTGAAAACTAACTCATGAAATATTAAAGAATAGATTTCTTTTATAAGCAATGGAAAACAGCATTAAGAAGTTGAAATTAGAATATGCCAATTGTCAGTGCCAAAACATTCTTGCTTTAAGCCCAGAATTTAAGAAGGTTCAAAAATGTGATGATTGTCCCATCTTTTCCACATTCTTCTTAAAAATATCTGAAGATTTTGACCTTTTAGACATGTAAAGAGCACTTTATACTCTCTTTCTCTCTCTCTCTCTGTCTCTCTCTCCATCTCTCCACCTTCTTATGTGCTATATTGACTTAAATTAATCTCTCAAATTGTCTTGCAATTTTATTTTACCTTATCTGGAGTTACTTACTATAATTTCTGGAGCATATTCTATAATCCTTAATTCTCAACATATTCCTCTTTATGACTTACTCAACCTTAAAAATTAAAAGTACCCTATTGTAAAAATTTTGGAATATCATAAATCATGAAGTTCCATTCTAATATTCATTTATACACTAATGTATCACTTATTACAATTGATGTTTAATTTATTTAATAGTATCAAAGTTCCCTGCATACTAATATCTGTTACTTCAAATAGAATGACACTGTTTATAATTTTTAGAATAATCCAGTTTTAAAGCAGGCTTTTAAGTTAGCATGTTAATAGCCTAGATAAAATTAATATAAAGTTAACTTAGGCTTTTTGAGACAATTTTAACAGAGTTATATAAGTAGGCTATCCCTATGTGAGTCAGTGGAAATTTCTAATAAGACTGAGCTTTTATTTGCTTTTCAACTTTTTTCTTTAGGCATGTAATATTTTTCATTTTTTGTATAGTCAAATGTTTTCAACATTTTCTTATATTATTTCTTCTACTAGTTCTAAACTCAAAAGCTTTTCTCTCCTTCAGAAGAAAAACTATTTGCTTCTAGCTTTTTATATTAACTCTTTAATTCACTTGATGGGTTTTTGATTATGTAATTAATCAACTAATCATACTCAGATCTCTTTTTTAATTAAGGCATTTAATTTTACTGATTTGTGAGATTCTTTCATAGCATTTTAGAAAGAAAAATGAGAGTAAAAACTTATGTGAGACTATACCATGTCTTAAATAAATATCAGATTAACCACCCATTATAGCAAGTAATGAATAATAAAAGTACTCTTTAGTTGTGAAACCTAATTTCTGGGTTTATGGTACAGAAGTTGAATGCTCCTTTAAAAAGCAGAAATCAGACCTTAGATTTTGCTATTATCAGTGAATATTAAGCACACTTTCCAAGGGCAAAGTATCAATGTTCTTGTCAATCCATTTTTGTTTCCTCCAAACATTTTGTGATAGTGATTTGGTTGACTATCTCAAAATCCCACACATGAAGAGACCATCATTTTACACTGGGTGCTCAAAATGATATCACCTACCCACAAGTGGGTCCTACCTAGTATTTAAATCTCAAGATTTGAATGGATGGAAGGGGTGGAGAGAAGGCACTGACTCCAAACTTTCTCAGGAGGGATGAAGACTTGAGAAGCATACACTCACCAGAAACCCTCCGGTCCCCGTATTCCTCCTCAGGGTCAAGCCGAGGCTCATGTTGGTTTTCACCTCAGTCACATTTTGGATGCTGGTTGAAGCTGTCAGAGGGAAAGGCATTTTAAAAAGAGATTAAATCTACACTTACTTAAGATTGTTCTAAAAAAAAAATCCAAATAGATGTTCTCATGTTTAAAAGTAACACTGAATCTAATATCAGATATTCAGGAGCCTCAGTTATAACAGTGAGGTGCAGGGAAGTGAGATGCATGCAGTGACCTGACCGCTCCCTTTTAATATGTGAGGATACAGAGCAGAACACACTAGGGGCGAGGCTCTGGAGAGGGTATTTAAATCTGATTATTTTACAAACAGTGTTTTCACTAAACAAAACACTGGAGGACACCTTTTGTTCCTGCCTGCTATGTCTGTTCCTTCCAAAGTCATACTGACCCACATAATGCTTTTCTCCCTGGATTATTAAAAAATACATTTAAAAAATTATCAAAGAGTGTCATCTGATAGAATTTGGCTCAAAGCATAGAAAGAGTGGTAAACTGTCAAAGGAAATCATGAGACCAACCAGGTTAAATAAAAACATATCTCCCACTGAACTAAAATAGCAGACACTGTACCCACTCGAGCTATCGAACATTACAGTCAGTTCTCCTCAATAACATCTTATCGTTATGGTCTCTCGTCTCATCCTAACCATCACTGCTACCTCCATTTATCCTTAGTTGGATCCCTTCCTCATCTCCCAGGCCGACTGCTAGAAAACTTCATGCTTCTGAAATCTCCAACCTCAGCCAGGTCCTGCCATTCTCAATGAATAACATGTCTACGAATCTCACTCTCAAGGTAAGCTCAGGTCCTCTTATCATTATCTGAGGCTCATTAGAAATCTTACTTTTTCACTACTTCCCTCTCTGTGTCTTAGCGAAGGGAGCATTTTTTCTAAGAGTCACTTTTCCAGCCCCCAATGACATCAATTCCATCACGAACTCTACTTTGACTAACAGTCATGCCCTTTCACCACCTCTTGACACTCTCCTGCAAATAAGAGTGTCTCCATTAGGTAGACGAATCTTCTGTTATTCCAGTTACCTATAAAACTTTTCCCAGCTCTCCTTCATTATTTAGTTTCTAAAAATGGAGATCGCTGTCACTTCTTATTCTTTCTCATTACTCACCCCTTCTTACATGCTTTTTTTATTGGCTCCCTGCAGAACTACTGAATTTACAGCCTAAGTGAATAGGTTACATAAAATATGATTTGCTAACATGCAGGAAGAAAAGAATAGAGAAGCCCTGTCTTTAATTTTGGAATTTATTTTTAGGTAAATGAATGATTTAGAATATAAAATGTCAGTACATAGATATCCCTTTAAACAATAATACAAATATATACATTAGAGGTGAGTGTGTAAAAGTTAAGGATGATACATTAGAGATCTATTAGAAAGCTATTAGCACTATTGTACTAAAACTTTTGAACACTTACTTTTAAATATTTTTATTATTATAATTATTAAATAATTTAATTCATAAGTAATTAGATATTATCATTATACAGATATGGTGAGTGTTCACAATGTTTGGAAATCTCTAAACTTGAATTACCTGCAACTTCCTTAAATATGCTGCAGTAGCTAGCCCACATAAGTCAATTTCTACAGTATGTGATGCCATTGATATTTCTTCCACCGCACTGAAAATATGTTCACTGAGCCCCTACTATGTGCCAGAAATTGTGCAAGAAATTAGATATAAAGACGTATGTAAGAAACATCTCTGCCCTTGTTTCAATTTTTTTTTTTTTTTTTTGCTCTGGAACTCAAACCCAGGCCTCACACGTGCTAGACAAATGCTGTTACAAAGCAACATCTCTAACTTCAAACTCTTCTTCCCTTGATTTCACAACAGTTGATCTCTATGGCATCGCAGCATTGTTTTTTTAAATGCCAATTCTGATAGGATAGGATGATGATCCAATTGAGCTTCTTCTTATTTATTTACACTAGAAAACAGTGTGTGGAAGCATTATTTAACTGTTTCGTGATCTTCAATAATTTTTTTATTTTAATAAAAAGCACCAGCGATGTGGGTAATTAAATAGCAAATAATTCCAAATTGTAAGCTTTTTTTCATTAGAATTCAATCATTTACACATAAAGTAAGAATACTTCTTAACACTTCCATACTCAGCCCTAGAGCTGATGTTTTTGTTCCTAATGTTTCATTTTGGAACAAGGAGGGAGAGAAACATAGTCTCAGATTTCTGTAAATGATTAGCAAAATAATCCTAACACTGACAGAAATCTGTCCATAGTCAGGGGTATATTGCTCCAGGAAGTACCACATTTCCTATGCATCCTGTTAACCCAGGTCTTCCAACTGTTTAGGAAATTTGTATTTAGTTAGATCCATATGATTTAAAAGATAAAGGCAAAAATACATTTAAAAAACTCTTTGACAATTCTTTAAGACAAAATAGTGACTGTTTCTGTTATTTTTCAGTGGAATATATGACAAATGATAATTTGCTATTTGCTAGAAATCCTATTAGTAATTAGGACTTACTTTGCAGATTCAATTTTTCACATGTAGCAGTAGACAGATCAACAGGGCATTTATATACATCTCCCATTCTGTTTTCTGGAAAACCACTCCAAGGTGAACCAACCAGTATCCTAGAAACAGGGTTTTTAAAATTAGATGTAATATGCACAGATAATAGTTAAAATGTTAGAGACAGCTTCTTAAAGATAAAATGATGAAAAATCACTTCAAACATATTTAATATTTGTTGTTATAATTCCATCTACTTTTTTCCTCTTAGCTAATCAAAACTCTTCATGAATACCTATAATATGGCTAACATCACACATCCTGGGAGGTTTCACCAATGAAGTGCTATTCAAGAAAAATATAATGCAAGCCACAAATGTTAGCCACTATGTAATTTTAAATTTTACACAATAAACCACATTAATAAAATAAAATGCAACAAACAAATCAGGTTTAACAGTGTATTTTATTTAACTCAATATATCCAAGCTAGCATGCAGTCAGTATAAGATTTACAAATGAGCTATTTTGATTCTTTTTTCCCTACTAAGTCTTAGAAATTCATTGTGCATTTTATATTTAGACCATATCTCAATTGAGCAAGTAACATTTTAATTACCCAACAGCCACCTATGGCTTGAGGCTACCATATTGATCATCATAGCTCTAAAGAATGAAATCATATTAAAACCAAGAACAACTAATATTTATTGAGCACTTTCTACACCCTAAGCCAGATGAGTTACTAAAATGGCTTTATGTTTATTGTCATTCTATGGTGATACATAGCAAAAGCACAGAACATATTAAGAGGTTCTCATTATGTGTAACATTGTGTGTATAACCAAAATACAGGATGATGCTGGCACTCACATCCTTCCCTTGGTTAGTTTCACTTCCTTCAGAGCTTTTCCAACTAGACTGTTTCTCTGTGAAGCACTCACTTAACGTTTCTTTAACAGTCTGATTTTTAGAAACTAGGTTTGTTTTTCAGCGACATAACTACTAAGGAAATATATTTGCATCAACATTTTTTTTCTTACCAAAATTAGGAAGGATTAGATTATCTGTGAAATTTAAATTCTTTCACAAGTTTTCTGTATAATTTGTTATCAGTTAAACACATGTGTCATGGTTTATGTCAGCGGCACCCAAGTCTCATGCAATCATGGACCTAACTGAATCTAGTGTTTGCGACTGGCTTGTTGTCTAGCACTTGGATTGGTGGTGTGAGTGCTATACCCACCCAGGGTTGGAGCCAGTATACAGTGTAATGGCAGGAAAAAGGTGCCTCTCTGTCTCTTGCTGGTGTGCGCCTTGCTGCTGCAGGAGCCATAAATGGCTGGCCCATCATGCCACCCTGCCGCTTGGAGCCAACTAAGTATAGACTGAAACCTCCAACCTGTAAGAAATAAACCTTACCTACCCTAACTTTGGACGTCAGGTATTTTGTCTCAACAATGACAGAGAAAAATAACTAAGACAACATGCGTCTATGATAAGATGCTATAATGCATAGAAGAAAACTAAGGCAGACTCCTTTCCACTACATGTAGAAAAATCATTTAAAATATATGACAACTAAAATAATAAGATAAATGAAATAAAAGATATAATTTAGTTCTTCTGTGAGCCATTAACATGTTCAAAAGATGCAAACAAGAACAAAAGGATGGAAGTGTATAGTTCAGCAATAAGCGTCTTTCCTTGTGGATCTTGAAATTATTCTTGCAAAACATTCTGCAATACTTTTTTTATTAAGGAGAAAAAGAAAAAAAACACAGAAAGGGTACAAGTTATACAGAATTTCAGAAAAAAAATAAACAATAGGAAATCACTAGTTAATAGACTACATATTTTTATCTTAGAAATAGTTGTTCAAGTTACAAAATTAAAGCATATAAAGTAGACTTTCAAACAGTGACACTGGAAACAGTTTTGTTCAATGATCCAACAAAACTCAGTAATATGGTTATCTATCTTATACACTTAAATATATATGCGGTTATATTCTTTAGCGCACTTTCTTTTCCTTTCTTTTGTACAATGACAATTACACATTTTGGGTTTTATTACTCCCACAGTTCTTATTACTTTTTTTGAAGGGAGTAAAACCAATTGTGACATAACAGAACAGAGTCAGTCAAATCAAAAGGATGAACATAATAGATAATGTAAAAACAAAATACTAGGTGATCAACAATGGTTACCATACTGCCTCTTGCTATCTTAAAAAGAATCGACTATATCATCAGTTATAATGAAACTGAACAAAACAGTAAAGAAGAAAACCAAAACATTGGAGACATTACAGGGCTTTAAAAGAAGATAATAGTCAACTGGAATGGGCGTCATAATGAATCTTATTGTCTTTACAGTTGCTGCCTATACTTTCAAACTTGGTACTATCAAGCAAAGCAGAAGAGAGTAAAATCAGTCAAAGCAAGATGGTGAGGGCTATACAGGGTTTCAAATCAAGTTAATAGGAAATGAAAGTGGGTTACTATAATGTGTCCTGCTATTTTTTTTATTTTTCCCTTAATTAAAAAGAAAAAAATAAGAAAGTAAATAATTCAAAAAAAGGAGACTGAGATAAAAGAGGGCATAACAACAAAACAGTGCAGGTCAAAGCATAACCATTTAAGCAAAATAGTGTTTCACCGCAAGACATCCCAACATAATAGTTACCATAATGCCTCTTTCCTTGAACTCTTTGAGTACAACTTCGTATACTGTAGCACCAAACATATCAAGACAATGTAAAACCATTCAAGAGAATGACAGTATTACAGGGTATTTAGAACCAACTATCAGAAAATGAACAATGGTTTCTGTATAATCTCCTTGTCTATAAAAGTTTTTGCTTATATTATCACATATAATAAAATCCAGTAAGATACAATCTGTTAAGACCAATGGAGACAGAAGAATAAAAGCTTGATGGGACTTCAAAGCAAGATGATACTAAATCAGCACTAGCTAACTTTGATTATATTTAGAATCAAAAGATTTTTTGTTGCTATATGAGCAGATACTATAACATTATTTAGCTTTATTATTCATTAATATTTTCTATTCATTATTCACTTAGCTTTATTATTGTTTACAGTCAGAAGTATGATAATACCAATCAGCAGAAGATTTTTGAAAAAAAAATCTGACTGTTGGATATTAGAACATCCCCATATTCACCTCAGTGGACAAAATGACTTACTGGGAGGATTTCAGTGTACGTTTAAGCATATCTGATGCTCTTCATATTCATAACCACTCAGAGGAGATTAGGAATCTGATGAAGTTAGTATAGAAAACTCTTTTCTACTAGTCTTTAGTTTTCATTCATAGTAGTACTACACAGCAGTCTTATGATATTTTATGTTCTGGACACATTTTAAAGCATAACAAAGAAGCAAAAATGATTGAGCCTTTGCTTTCTTCTCCAACCCTGAGTCTTTCCTGGACCTTCTTGAAATTCCACTATCGCAATCATATGCAACTTGACACCTCTCCAGACCAGATTCTCTCTCGCTCCCAAACATTCACACTGGGTGTTCTGTCTGGTGATTTCTACTCATTGTTTTTGCCTCCTGTTCTACACTCTTTCCTATAGGAAGTAACTCTGGCTCTTCCAGATCTAGGGACTGGATCCCTCACTAGAGATGAAAGATACTTAGGGATCACGTGCCTGTAGGACTGAATAATTACTTGTTGAACAAGTTAATGAACAGTCCTATATTATGATTTAAAGGAACTATCTTGGTTGAGGAAAAGTTAATTAGAAAATGTTTATTTCTGTTCTACTTGAGGAGTATTTTTTAATCTAAATAAAAGTTTAAAAAAGAGGACAAAAGTAAACCAAATCAAAATCAATCAAGTCAAAGTTATTTTGTCAGTTGCTTCTCATTCAGTCTCCATATATCTACCACATATCATGGTTTTATTTTTTTCTGCAAAAAAACTGATTATAGAGTCTGTGTGAGGAAAAGAATAGCACTTTATAGCAGGGGAAAAAAAAAACCTCTCCTAGGAATATGGTTTTGTCCCTTGTCATACTGGAAATTCCTATTAATTACAGGAAGTTTTATATTTCCTAGCAAGTGCAAGACTTTCCATACATTTTCTTACTTAATCAGAAGAAAGTCTGACACTATTGCCATGTTATAGATGGAATCACTGATACACAGAAGGGTGAGCAACTTCTTCAGGATCAAGTGACTGGGGCAGGCTGACTGCACCCAGCACTGAAGCTGGACATTTGAAAACTTCTTTCTTTAACCTGCAAGAAGCCCTAGCATAGGGCTGAGACTGAGATAACTGTGAGAACTCAGAGCAGCAACCAGAAATGGAGTGTGAAGCTACGCCTATGAGGAGTGAGGCTGCAGCTCGGAGGGTGAAGAGGGGCTGCAGCCCAGGCGCCTGCCTTGGCATCCCGTGAAAGCATATCCCCTCAGAGGGTCTAGGCTGCACTGTTGGCAACGGCAAGTAAGGACAGGGCGGTTCATATACTTCCAAAATCTGTAGTTCAACTGACTTCCATTGTGCACATTTCCGTGTGTCTTCCCTGCAGCCTAAGAGAGACATACTGAGACAAAAAGTCTGTGTTTCTGATCTAAAATGGAAGTTTCTTGTTCCTCAGTGCCCTCACCAGTAAAGTCACACCACAAGTTCTCTGTTACTGCCATCAGAAGTTACACAAAACTATTTGCTGCTTCATGTCAATTAGCATTCCCTGAGTACTGTCCGCCTCAACTCCTCCCATCTCAATTTCAAGATCTGGTAACCGTGAAGATCAAGGGGTGTTACGACATCACCCCACTACTGTGAGAACTATGCCCCCTGAGTTAGGCAGCTGCTCTGCTGTGTGCCACTCAACAGAGGAATGTGGAAACACTCAAAATTCTCTAGAAGAAAACAAGTAAATACAAATAAAGCTTTGACAGTTTTATGGTGTGTTAACCTCTTAATGCAAGAAAAGTAGAAAACATTGAACAACCAGAGCATTCTGGTAACTGTTCAACATCAAAATGTCCTAGTCAGACATTCCTCGCTCCCTTACGTATCTGGAAGCACATTAGAAAGTGGTCTCTGTGTCATATTAATGACTACAGAGACAGTTTTAAAG